ATGCAAAGGTGGGAGAAGGATGTCACTTTTTATTGGGGCAGCTGCCCTCAGCCCGTTAATCACCCGACCTTGATTTCTTCTGATTGAAAATTGAAGATTAACCCTGTTAGCCCTTGGAGATGCTGTATTCTGTTAACCATCTCCGTAAGTCTCTGAGGTTCAGGTAGCCTTGGCTGTCACTCTGCCCTTTCTGCTATTAGAATAATTGTATCTACCTGGCTCCTTAACTACCTGGTAGTTAAGTGCTGCCACCTGGCCTCTTGTTGCAAGTTCTATCACCCCATTACTGTTGTGAGCCTGGTTTTGTAACAGTCTCTCCTACTGTCAGTCCTGGCCTGCATTTTTAGCACGTAGTGAAATTTCAGTGATGCTGTTTCACCTCTTTACCATCTCATTCCCTGTAGCTTTAGTAAGGGGAGTATCCTCTTGATCTTCCCATGGAACGTAATCGTTCGGTGGGAATCCCAGCCTTCCTACAGTACATCTACTTCACGATGCTTCCCTGAGTTTTTAAATCTGTTCCTACACGATATGTCCTGGCAGTTTTGACATTTTTTTCCCCTCTTTGTATGGGTTGTAGTTTTTCACACTCCTAAGAGCCATTCTGGTAGCATTTCCTGGGACCTTGGCAGAGTGATAACTGTTGTATCTCAGGAGAATGTTTCCAAATCAATAAATTCTCCCTAACCCAATTTTATGGTCTGGTCCTCTTGATCAAGCACCTGCAGAATCCAATCCCTTGTTACTCCCCCAGCTCTTGGCATTTTATGTGTGGCTAGTTCTTGCAGCTCCTTTGGGGGATAGCACCTTAATGAGTCCCAATAAATCCCTCACTGGGTTATGTACTGTTTTAACCCTGGTTATCAGCCTAGTATCCAGCAGGGAAGTAAGAGCAGCCTTTGAGAAGGGTACCTGCAGTCTTACAGGGTCTGGTCTTCTGCATTGTCTACAAAGAAGAGGGAAGCGCTAGATGATGGGCCATTTCTGCACATTCAGAGGGTGTAGGAATTCAAGATCTGCAGGGGCACCGATCAGATATCTCCATCCCACATGTCCTATTCCCATTATTTCCCAACTAGGGTCTTTAGCCAGCTTGCCTTGCTTGGGAGTTTAACATCATTGGATCTTAGACTATTCTGATAATTATTCTGGCCCTCAGCTTTCCCTGCCCTCCCACTACAGGTGATGAAGCCCTCTTCATATGCCCTTAAGGCGGCCCTCTGGCTTTCACATTTGGCTTTCAGTCACGGTGACCCAATTTCACTATTCTTATAGTTACTCTGGCCCCTATATTTATTTGGTACATCCTACCAATTAGTACGTTCCCTTCTGCCAGTATAGTATCCCTATTCACCAATGATAAAATATTTAACAGTTGGATCACCAGATCTTCATTTCCAGCTGTCTGTTAAGTGACCTTGCTTCTATACATCCTTCCATTGCCTGCTTTCTTGGATCAATCCCAGTACCAATCGTTGTAGGTTGAGTTCTCCAAGAAGCAGACTCTGAGATGGAGTTTAGTGTGCAGGATATTTACCAGAGAGTGTCCCTGGGAATTGACAACCACAGAAGGAGAGAAAAGTGGGAAAAGTTGAGCTGTAGTGTGTACCTGACAACAGCGTCAACTAATCACATGGGTAATCTGAAGCCAAAATAGATGGTCAGTTGTCCCACACTGTGCTGAAATGTTCAGACCTTTATTGCCCTGCCTCAGTCATTCATTACATATAGGCCATGTGGGAAGGCTGTGACCTTGAGCACAGGGTCTCTCTGTAGTTAGCTGGACGCCAAAATATCTGAAAGCTAAAGGCCGTCAGCTGGGCCAGCAAGTCCTCTTTACTGGATGTCACATCTCTGTGTCCTTCTGGACACTGAGGCACAGAGAGGTTCCCAAGGCCACACAGTTAGTAAGTAATGGAACATGTCTGACTCTAGGGTGGCACTCTTAACTGCTGTCAGCAATTCTGTGCCTCTCCCTGGTGTGGCAGACAAACAACTCCAGCCTGCTAACCTGGAGCAACCAGGAACCAGCCGGCAGGAAAGAACTTTAGGGGAAGGCAGGTGCAGGAGCAAGATCATGAATGTGGTCAAGATGGGGTAGGGAGGTATAAACATAGTAGCCAGAAGGGGGCGCTAGGCAAGGGAGAGCTGTTCTTTTCTTTTTTTAAAGATTTTATTTATTTATTTGACAGAGAGAGAGATCACAAGCAGGCAGAGAGGCAGGCAGAGGGGAAGGGGGAAGCAGAATCCCTGCTGAGCAGAGAGCCCGATGCGGGGCTTGATCCCAGGACCCTGAGATGACCTGAGCCGAAGGCAGAGGCTTAACCCACAGAGCCACCCAGGCGCCCATCTTTTCTTTCTTTAAAAATTGCTTGCTTACGTGATTGATTGATTTGAGAGAGACAGAGAGAAGGAGAGGGAGAACACATATGCGCATGCACGCGCACCCCTGAGCAGGGGTAGGGGCAGACTCCTCCATGAGTGTGGGGCCCAGCACAGGCCCCATGGGGGCTTGATCTCATGACGCTGAGATCATGACCCTAGTGGAAAGCAAGAGTCGGACACTTCACCAACTGAGCCATGCAGGTGCCCCAAGGGAGAGTTTTCTGATGCTTTTCCAGAGCTGCAGGAGAGAGGGGCCCTGAGCAGCTGCCACGTCCTGTCCATCACCCTGGCCACAGTCTCCTGGGAGCCCACGAGTGACTTTCCAGACTTCATAGTTTGGAGAAAATGTCACTTCACAGCCTTCAAATCCATCTGCATTGAGACCCCTGTTCTCCAAACAGCCCCCCTAATCCCAGAAGGTTTCCCCTTGTAGGACGAAGCTGTACTGCTTGGCTGACACAAGTATTCTTGGCAAACATACTTCTCATGGTAGGTTGTTAGTCAGTCTTATAAACCATGCTCTTTGGTTAGTAAGAAGTGGCTCCTCAGAGTCTGGTCACTTTTCAGTAACGAATTGAGCAGCTGACTTTGAGTAGAGAAGTGAGTGGCAGCCTGGGGAGACTCTGAACTCAGTGTTCCCCAGGCATAATACCATGCTTTTCTTGCCCAGCTCCTTCCTTTTTCTCTCTGCCTCTTACCTCTCTGCCTTGGACTGGGTGACTCTACTTTTCAACACAAAGTCATCCCCTAATGCCCCATTGTGAGTATGAGATCATATTTTCCTACCCACTACTCTCATGTACTTTGTGTTTATTACTACTAGAGGATGGCATGGTAAAACTCCTTTGCTGCACTGTGCTGTTGTTGTGTGGGGTTTTTTATGGGTTTTTGTTTGTTTGTTTGAAGAGGAGAAGATGGAGAACAGGAAAGAGAGGACGAGGGAAAAAAGAGGAAAAGATGAAATCAAAAGGAGAGGAAGAAGGTCAACTCCTGCTGTGTGGAGGGCAGAGCTTAAGACCAAGGTTTCTTTCAGCATCTCCTCTGGGGTCTTTATTCATTCAACAGGTTTGTTTGGATGCCAGCAAGTGCCATACATTTCTAGATTCTGTTCCCTTGAGTAAAATATAATTTGGAGAGTTGGGTGGATAATGTGAGGTGTATTTCAATCACTCGCAGGCCCTTTTAAATTTAAAGTACAAAATTAACACATGCCCGTTGTAAATAACAAATCCAAATACAGCAGTGTATTTCCTCCCAAAGAGGAAGCTCTCACCCTCATACCCCTTCTCTCCCAATCTCACTCCCTAAGAGTAACTGTAGGACCAATTTGATACCTATTGTGCCAGACCTTTTGGGACACATAGGTAAACACATCCAAAAACAGAATTGGGCAATATGTATTATCCTATAATATAACCTCTCCCAGCAGTGTTAGACTGGCTTGACAGACAGCCCTAGGGGTACATGGGGGTCTGAGAAAACACCTTGGGAGACTACAAGGTAATGTCTACCTCATCGGCCTGTGTGCATGATTAAGTTGCGCATGTCCAATGGGACCTGGGCTTCCTTGCATGCAGGTGTTCCCTCTGCTAAGTGAAAACTGATTTTCAGACGTTATGAAGACAGCCCTATCTCTGGCCTCTCTCAGTATAGCTGCATGATTCATAGCCTTTTGTTCCTACCTCAGTGCACATAACAGATGCTCTCTATATTTGATATGTACATACCCTGAATTGTCCTCCATAATCAAAACACACACACACACACACACACACACACACACACACTTCAAGAAGGCATGTCAGAATCCCAGTGAGTGAACAGGATGTTTCCATAAGGATAATCTTATATCTTTTTTTTTTTTAAGATTTTATTTATTTTGAGAGAGAGTGGGAGAGGGAGCATAAGCGGGGGAGGAGCCGAGGCAGAGGGAGAGAGAGAATCTGAAGCAGATTTCTTGCTGAGTACAGAGCCCAACACAGGGCTCCATCTCAAAACTCCGAAATCATGACCTGAACCAGCCAAAACCAAGAGTTGGACACTTAACCAACTAAGCCACCCAGGCTCCCCCAATAACCTTATATCTTTACAAATTATTTTTATAAGTTATTTGGTCACTTTTTAAAGTATGATTATTCATTAATTGAGACCTGTATCAAAACTGATTGTGACACACTCAGAAACACGAATGCAAATGAATTCCGTAATTTTATTTATTTATTTATTTGACAGACAGAGATCACAAGTAGGCAGAGAGGCAGGCAGAGAGAGAGGTGGAGGCAGGCTCCCTGCGGAGCAGAGAGCCCTATGTGAGGCTTGATCCCAGGACCCTGGGATCGTGACCTGAGCTGAAGGCAGAGGCTTAACCCACTGAGCCACCCAGGTGCCCCGAATTCCATAATTTAAATTCGTACTTTATCAAAAGCCAAACTTGTGGTTTATTTAGCAACACAGGATTCCCTGACTGACACATTCAGGTGTCACCCATTCAACTGAGCACCTGGTCGATGCCAGGCACTGAGCCGGGTGCCAAGAAACAGAGGTGAACAATGCACTGTCCGTGGTTACGATCTAGTAGAGTGGTTATTGAACTTTCCTGAGAAGCAGAGCAAAGCTTATTTTCACTCAGGCAAAGTCTGTTACTGTGGCTCTCAGAGATCCTCTAGAACCACGGTCCTCCTCTTGTTGGATTAGCGATGCAGGGGGGTTCAATGTTGTGGCGCATCCTTCTCAATAAATGCTTTCACAATAACTGCAGCAGGGAGAGAGAATACCAGATGGTCTTGAAACTGAAATGAAATGCTCTGGCCTGAAATTGATAAATGTCACTTCTCCTAATCCATTGGCAAGAACTAGTCGAATGATTGCCTAATCATAAGGAGGCAGGGAAGTGTTATCCTCTGATGTACCTGGAGGGAGAGAAAAACTAGATTTTGATGAACACTTGAAAATTCTACCTTGTATTAATAATTATATGACTTGATCATAACACATTTCATTTCCTACTGCGGGTTCCAGTAAAAAACTGAGAAAATGCTCAGCCGCTTTCTTCTCTCTCTGCCCTCCCCACATCCAAGAATTGTGAAGAATTAGCAGACCTGTACTCAGAGGCCAGTTCTGCCACCCCCCTGCTTCTGTGAAAGTCAGGTCACCTAATCTCTCTGTGCTTCACCCTCATCAGACCTCTGAGGGAGGAAATAGTATCGGCCTTACGAGATTGTGGTAAGGCATGAGAGACATGATAGAGTAAATTTCTGGATCCAGGCTTGACGCTGTGCGTGAGTTTGGTCAGTAGAAATTGTTCCCCTTCTGTCAAGAAGAACTCTGACATTTTTCTAGATGTAATGTCTGTTGCATAACTCCGTGCCTTTGGGCCTGTGTGCTTCCTTGGGACTGATTTTCCTCCTCTCATCTGCCTGTTAAACCCTTATCTTAGGGGCACCTGGGTGGCTCAGTGGGTTAAAGCCTTTGCCTTCGGCTCAGGTCATGATCCCAGAGTCCTGGGATTGATCCCCGCATCAAGCCCCGCATCAAGCCCCGCATCGGGCACTCTGCTCAGCAGGGAGCCTGCTTCTTTTCTTCTCTCTCTGCCTACTTGTGATCTCTGTCAAATAAATAAATAAAATCTTAAAAAAAAAACTTATCTCAGTACTCAGATCGCGTCCTTCTTCTAGGAACTGCTCCCCAAGGTGAGCAAATAAGCAGATAGGATACAGAGGAGTGTGGATAATGAGCAGGTACCCTGTAGAGAGCCTGCAGATGTGGTTCGAATCCCAGCTCCGCCACTTCATCAGCTGTGAAGGCCTGTGACTAGCAAGTGACTTAACATCTCTAAGACTAAGTTTACTCACCTGTGAAATAGGTAGGATATTCCTACTTACTTCACAGGATCATTGTGAGGATTAAAAGGGAAAATGCTCCCCGGATGTTAAATTCACTGTCTGGCCCCTAAGTGTTCATGACACCCTTCTTTGCGCCACCCCTGTACTTGGTACCTGCCTCTACTGTAATTTCTCTCGCATTGTGCTGCTCTTACTTGTTTGGTGCCATGCCCTGTGCTAGACTATGTACTTGCTGAGCACTGTCCCAGAGTTCAACAATAATATCGAGATTTTTTTCTTAATATCTAGCTTGGGAGTTTTTTAAAAAATCCCAAGCATTATGCTGAACACTTTACATATATTATCTCACTTATTGTTACTGTTTTTTTTAAGATTTTATTTATTCATTTAATAGAGAGAAAGAGAGAGATCACAAGCAGGCAGGGGAGGAAGCAGGATCCCCACTGAACAGAGAGCCTGATGCGGGGCTTGATCCCAGGACCCTGAGATCATGACCTGAGCCGAAGGCAGAGGCTTAACCCACTGAGCCACCCAGGTGCCCCTCACTTAATGTTAATTGGAAATTCCATCAAGGTCCTGCTACCCCCTAAGGTTGGCCAAGGCTGGACAACACCTCTGCCTCTTTTCTCCCTGCAACTTAGCTGACAGCAGAGCTTTACTCATTAATGTCCTGATATGCAGCAGCTTCAGTGTCCTCTGGTTCTAGGTTTCCAGATGATGCTTTGAAGGTTCATTTTACTTTGAGTAAGGGAACCTCTCTTTGTTGTGGCCAGTTCTTTTTTTTTTATTTTTTTAAGATTTTATTTATTTATTTGTCAGAGAGAGAGAGAGAGAGCACGAGCAGGCAGAGAGGCAGAGAGAGAAGCAGGCTCCCTGCCGAGCAAGGAGCCCGATGTGGGACTCGATCCTAGGACCCTGGGATCATGACCTGAGCTGAAGGCAGAAGCTTAGCCCACTGAGCCACCCAGGGGTCCCTGTTGTGGCCAGTTCTTGATCTGCTTCACTTTGTTTCTTTTGTCATATTATTTCTGGTGTTTGGCTGCCCTGTGTCTACAAATAGATAAACTGTTCTCCTTGTCTCCATTTCTAATTTGGGTGGCTTTCAGTTTTGTTATAAACAAAGCTACAGTTAAGCTCTGGTGAAGCCCACTACATAGGAGCTCCTGGGAGGCTAAGAAAGAAGACGGCAAAGACCTGGCTGGGTTAACCCTCCCATAATGCCTCCATCCTCTCTCTTGCCTGCCATTCTCACGGCCTTCCTTCTGGATTTGATCAATTTCCCTCCCTTCAGCCTCTGCTTCCCCACTGCTAATGAATACACACAGGGGTTCCTATACTTAAACAAACAGTTAATGAATAGGGAAATGCAAATCAGAACCAGTATGAGATACCTCTTCACACACTTTAGGATAGCTCTTATGAAAAAACAAACAGAAAATAACAAGTGTGTTGAAGAAGTAGAGAATATAAGACACTTGTGCACTGCTTGTGGGAATATGAGATGGTGCAGTCACTACAGAAGACAGAGGGTGATTCCTCAATTTTTTTTAGAGTAATGTCCACATCCAACATGTGGCTCGAGCTCATGACTCTGAAATCAAGATTTGCATGCTCTACCTACTAAGCCAGCCAGGCACCCCGGATTCCTCAAATATTAAACATACAACTACCGTTATGGGTTTAATACCTAAAAGAAGTAAAGGCAGAGACTTGAACTGATATTTGTACACTCATGTTCATAGTAACATTGTTCACAATGGGCAAAAGGTGGAAACAAGCCAACTTGCCATCAATAATGAATAGACAGGGGCAGCTGGGTTAAGTGTCTGACTCTTGGTTTTGGTTCAGGTAGTGATTTCAGGGTCATGGGATCAAGGCTAGTTGTCAGGCTCTGTGCTCACTACAGAGTCAGCTTGAGATTCTCTGCCCCTCCCTGGTAAAATAAATAAATCTCAAAAAAGTAATGAATAGATAAATTAAAATGTGGTAAATACAGGGGCACCTGGATGGCTCAGTGGGTTAAAGCCTCTGCCTTCAGCTCAGGTCATGATCCCAGGGTCCCATTGGGCTCTCTGCTCAGCGGGGAGCCTGCTTCCTCCTCTCTCTGCCCGCCTCTCTGCCTACTTGTGATCTCTGTCTGTCAAATAAATAAATAAATAAATAAAATATTTAAAAATTTAAAAAAAAATGTGGTAAATACATACAATGGAATATTAGTCAACATTGAAAAGGCAGGGAATTCTTTTTTAAATTATTTTTTTAAATTTTTATTTATCTATTTGAGAGTGAGAGAATACATGAATAGGGGGAGAGGCAGAGGGAGAGGGGCAAGCAGACTGCCTACTGAGTGGAGAGCCCAACATGGGGCTTGATTCCAAGACCCTGAGATCATAATCTGAGCTGAAGGCAGATGCTTAACTAAGCCACCAGTGCCCCAGAAAAGGAAGGGAATTCTTTTTTTTTTTTTTTTTTAAGATTTTGTTTATTTATTTATTTGACAGAGAGAGACACAGCAAGAGAGGGAATAGGCATGGGGAGTGGGAGAGGGAGAAGCAGGCTGCCTGCTGAGCAGGGAGCCGGATGTGGGGCTCAGTCCCAGGACCCTGAGATCACGACCTGAGCCGAAGGCAGAGGCTTAACCCACTGAGCCACCCAGGCCCCCAATAAATAAAATCTTTAAAAAGAAGAAAAGAGGGGGCACCTTGGTGTCTTAGTCATTAAGCCTCTGCCTTCAGCTCAGGTTATGATCCCAAGGTCCTGGGATGGAGCCCCACAGGGTGCTGCCTGCTCAGCAGGAGGCCTGCTTCTCCCTCTCCCACTCCCCCTGTTTGTGTTTCTTCTCTCGCTATGTCTCTCTCTGTCAAATAAATAAACATCTTAAAAAAAAATAAAAATAAGAAAAGAAAAAGAACCTATGTTGAGAAATTTATTAAAGTGGCACCAGCAAATGCTTGATCTTCATGCTGCAGATAGGAATAACCCCAAGAGAAGAATAGAAAATTTATTTTGTTTCATGGAAAATCTGTGTGGACACTCTCTGTCTTTGTAATTATGTGACCCTTCTTACCTGGTAGTTTGGCTTCCCCGGCAGGAGGGAATGTCCTGGGTAGATGGCCTCGGCTGTCAAATTGGGCCCATTTTTTGTTGTAGATGAATAAATGGACATTCTGGCTTGTTATTTCTCTTCCTCTGAAGTTGCTGGGCATGAAGTAATTCTCTGAGGAAACAGATAAAACTAAGTTCCTGGACTAGCAAGGCAGAGATCGAACCATGATCTGTAGTGACACCACCGTGATCCCAGACTCCCCTGAGGTAACATTCCTTCCTGAGGTACTTCAGTTCCTTTGCCTGGATCATACCCTCATTGTCCTCAGACTTGATTGGACCCCACTGAGAGATGCAACTGTTGAATCTTATTTCAAATAATATTGAAATATTTTTTGCTGACCTGTGCCACCACAGCCCTTCCTGAAGGTTTTCATGGAGTTTGTCTTTTGTTTAACCTCCTGAGGCAGCCCCCACCCTGGGTCTAAAATTGTGCAGATTACTGTAGAAAAGTTTATTTTATTTTTTTAAAAGTTTTTTTAAAAAAGATTTTATTTATTTATTTGACAGAGAGAGAGAGATCACAAGTAGGCAGAGAGGCAGGCAGAGAGAGAGGGGGGAAGCAGGCTCCCCACCGAGCAGAGAGCACGATGCGGGGCTTGATCCCAGGACCTTGAGATCATGACCTGAGCCAAAGGCAGAGGTCTGAGCCACCAGCCACTGAGCCACCCAGCTGCCACAGAAAAAGTATATTTTAAAGTATGACAGGGGCGCCTGGGTGGCTCAGTGGGTTAAGCCTCTGCCTTCGGCTCAGGTCATGATCTCAGGGTCCTGGGATCGAGTCCCGTATCGGGCTCTCTGCTCTGCAGGGAGCCTGCTTCTCTCTCTCTCTCTCTCTCTCTCTGCCTGCCTCTCTGTCCACTTGTGATCTCTCTCTGTCAAATAAATAAATAAAATCTTTAAAAAAATAAAATAAAGTACATGACAAAAAATCACTACTTTCAAGGTTTTTACCCTCCCGTTCGTGAGAAAAGGCTTGTATGCCTAGAGCAATGGATGAGCACCTTAGTCATGTTTATAATCTAGTTTTCACTTGAATATAAGTGCCGGTGTCACAGTATAAAGCATAAATATTATAGGGTGTCAGAAGGAGAGCAGTCATTATGAGATGAATGCATTAGGGAAAGTTTTTAAGGAGAAGATGGGATTTAAGATGTGTTCAGAATAGATGGAGTCACTGTATCAATTAGGACCTATTGGTTGGAAGTGGTAGAAACCCAACTTAGACTAATTTAGGTAAAATGAATTTATTGTGCTTAGAAATCAGGGGAAGACTAAAAGCCAAGCCATGGGAAGGTAATAGATGCAGCTGGGCCTCAGGAACTACTGGAACTGGCAATATACATGCTGAATGGGTCTTTTTTTTTAATTTGACAGACAGAGATCACAAGTAGGCAGAGAAGCGGGCAGAGAGAGAGAGAGAGAGAGAGAGGAGGGGAAACAGGCTCCCCGCGGAGCAGAGACTCCAATGTGGGGCTCGATTCCAGGACCCTGGGATCACAACCCGAGCTGAGGGCAGAGGCCTTAACCCACTGAGCCACCCACGTGCCCCCTGAATGGGTCTTTAATCCTGCCATTGCTATTTGTCTCTGTACCTTGATTTTATTTTCTCTTGCTGCAAACCATTTTCCTTCCCAGTATTACCAGTCAGCTCATGAGCTCAGCAGGAGCCATCAGGGTTAAAAGGAGTATTTTCCAGTTTTACTTCAGAAAAACCCTGGGAATAACCTGATCTGCCTGACCACTGGACCAATAAGCTAAAGCAGGAGGAGGAGGGAGTCCTAGAGACCCTTGAGACCAACTGCTGGGGAAGCAGAAAAGGGAGAAATGCTGAGCAGAAACAGTGTTAACTGATTATGAGGAGGAATGAGTGTGGTTTAGGCAGATACCAGTTGGGCTGAGAAATTGAGGATAAGTATGAGTAACATACATGGAGTAGGGGATTATGGAGGGCTTAGAATTTATGCAGTGGAACATCTAGAGGCCAAAGGAATCTGGTGTTCAGCTCTGGGTGCCACATTTTAAAGTGGAAAAAGATAAACTGTTGTGCCCAGAGCAGGGCAATCACTAGACTGAATGTCTGTTTGTATAAGGGCAGTAGCTATCAGGGTGTATCTGTGTTTGGAGGGAGGGAGTGAAAGCTCGAAAGATAGCAAAGATAGGCTTTAGAGTTAGTGAGAAGAGGTTTAAGAGGTTTTTAAGGCAAGGATTTCCAGCTTAGAAGGATGTGGGCATTTAAAGAAACGGAATGTAAGAGGGGTTAGGGTAAATATGATCCATTCAGATTCAGACATACGGAGTTTGAGATGCCAGTGTTGTATCCCACAGCTGGAACTGCTGTCAAGAGATTGGAAATATATGCTGGGATTTACGGGAGATCAAATTGCGCATAACTCATATGTGAAACTAGAAAAGAGGAAGGCACAGTCTGGGCTCTGGAGACAATCTGCATTTAACGTTGTGGGAAGAGAGTTAGTGGAGGAGGCAGCTGGGGGAAGGTTCGAGAAGGCTAAGGGAACTAGGCAAGTGCGGAGTGTAGAAAAGTCAAAAGCTGGATTTCAAGAAAGAAGAGGTGGCGTGGAAACAAGTGGTGGAGGAAACTTGGAAAAGCCAATTGTGTTCGGTGAGGTCTTAACCTTGGAAAAGAACGGAGTTAATTGTCATTCAGATGTTTGCTGAGAGCTTAATTCCTGCTAGTGCAATGCTAATTGCTAAGGACTGGAGGAAGAGCACCCTTCTGGACCCAAGAAGCTCACGGTGTGGCAGGAAAGTGTGAAGTGAATGAATACTTAAGATACAATGTTGAAAGTGCTCAAACTGAGGGGTGCACAAGATACAGAAGTCCTGCGGAGTGGGCGGCCTCCTGAAGGAGGCGGGGTTTGCGGACGCCAGGTGGGTCTCCTGAGATTCCGCGCGATTCCAGGGGATCGGGTCCTTTGAGGCCACGGACAGCTCTTAGGCGGTTGTGGGGAATGGCGTCCCCGGGGAACCCTGGCGCCCGGGGGCGAAAGGATGTTCGCAATATTTGGGTCCTATTTGAAAGGTGCGAGGTGGAGATTGCAGCCTGAAGGAAGAATGCAGAAAGGAAAGGAGAAAAAAAACTTTTCCAAATTCTCCCCTACTTTCTGGGTAAGCAGAAAAGATCAGGAGGGGTGGAAGCCGAGCCCTTTGGAAGGCTAATCGACCGAAAGCTTCAATTCGCCAGACTCAGGGAACCTTGTTACTCTTCTCCCGCCTGTACTTCCACGGAACCCTAGTGCCCTAAGGCCTAGTTCGACGCCGGACTAGAAAAGCAGATGGACCCACACGAGAAAAACGGAGTACCCGGTCGGGAAAAGCGGGGACCCGGGTGGAAGGCGCTGTCGGGCTCCGGCGGGGAGACCAGCGGACGCCGGCGGTGTGTGGGGAGCAACAGCCCTAGCAGGTGAGGATTGAGGGGGCCGCCTCGCTGCGGCTTGCTCCGGCCCGCTCCCCTGAATCAGACCGTGAGTTAAAGACCGGGGCTCCAGAGTTTCGTTTTGCCTGTTACTAGCTGTGTGACCTCGTCATTTATTCTTGGAACCTCCTTTTCCTCGTCTCTGTAATCGGAATAATAACAGAACCTCTCAGGGTTGTTGTGAGGCGTCAGTGAACTATACTTGGAACGGTACCGGGCGCGTGATCAGCCCTGGATATACAGTCTGGACGAAGACAGCTCTCTTTTAGCTCCGTGGGTTACGCGGCAGTCAAAAATTACAAATTTCGGCCGGGGTCATCCAGTTGATGAAAGGTTTTACTTTATGTTTTTTGGTAAAAATACTAAACAAAAATTTATAATTAGCGTTATATTATTAGAGAAGTAACGCACTACTGAGGACTTCGAAGATACGGTGAATATTATTACTCATAATCCCATCATCCTGCATACGAGTTTAAGTCTTTTTTTTCCTTCCTCAAATCTTTTTTTGTTGGTACACTTTTATACTTGTAATATTAGTTTACATGCAATTTTGATTCCTCCTTATTTGCCATTTAGTAGTGTAGCCTACGGATGGGGTTCGCAAGAATCATTTTTGATTGTACAAATTCCATTTTATGGAATTATCATTTTCCCAAATTCCTTTATGTGTAGAGATAAAATTGAACACAATCAGTGAGGAAAATTGAAATATTACCTATGATTCCAGGACCTCAGATCAACTTTTTAATTTTCCTAGTTCTCTCCTATTTTTTTTTTAAGATTTTATTTATTTATTTGAGAGAAAGAGAGCATGGGGCGGGGGGAAAGCAGAGGGCAGAAGAAGAAGCAGACTCCCTGCTGAGCAAGGAGCCCAGTGTGGGGCTGGATCCCAGGACTCTCGGATCATGACCTGAACCAGAGGCAGATGCTTCACCTCCTTGAGCCACCCAGGTGCCCCTATAGTTGGTCTTTTTTTTTTTTTTTTAAGATTTTTATTTATTTATTTGACAGAGAGAGAGAGAGATCACAAGCAGACAGAGGGAGAGGGGGAAGCAGACTCCCTGCTGAGCAGAGAGCCTGATGCGGGGCTCCATCCCAGGACCCTGAGACCATGACCTGAGCCGAAGGCAGAGGCTTAACCCACTGAGCCACCCAGGCGCCCCTGTAGTTGGTCTTAATAGAGCTGAGGTTATTGGCCATGGATGTGAGTAGAAGTTAGGTCAGGGAGTTGGGCCTTGTGCACTATTTTAGGAGTTTGAATTTCTGTGTGTGTGTGGGCGGGGTTATTGCTGACTTATTATAAGGGGAGTACAGTCATATTTAGACAAATTCCTTTTGTTGCCAAAGGATGGTTTGAGAGAGGTAGAGATCAGAGTCAGGGGTGCTTTGGTACTTAAAGAGTGTCTAATGGGGCAGTGACAAGGGCTTCACCTGGGAGGTTGTTAGAAATGAAGATAAAGGATGTCTGAGCTGAGTTTCAGAGGATACATTAGCTAGGCAAATTCCACAGAGGACAGATTGCTGAAAGCAGCAATCTGTCAAGGCCTGAAGCTGAGAGAGGGACTACTGGTTGGCAGTTGTTGGACTGTGAGTGTTTGTGAGTATTGGAGTAGAGAATGGGGATGGGACTCAGGTGAGGTTGGGGAGATGAATTTTTGTTCTTCCTCTCTCCTGGTCTTTGGTCCAAGACAGGAGAAAGACAAATAATTTGACAGTGCATATTTTATTCCTTTTAGGGGTGGCTGGAGTAAATAGGAGAGAGGACTGTTTAGCCAAAGTTGTTATTTTACCAGAGCTATAAAACTTACATTGCTGATGTTTTGTTGTTGTTTTTTAAGGATTTTATGTATTTATTTGAGTGCACGATAGTACACGTGTGAGATAGAGCGAGTGCATGCATGTGTGCCCACGAGCAGAGGTGGGGGGGGGACAGAGGGAGAGGGAGAAACAGAACCAGGCTCCCCGCTGAGCATGGAGCCTGATGAGGGGCTGGATCTCAGGACTCCGGGATCCTGACCCGAGCCGAAGGCAGACGCTTAACCCAGTGAGCCACCCAGGTGCCCCTATTGCTGTTGTTTTACATGTAGAGGCAGGAGCATGTAGTAGAAGGGCATAAGACCAGGGTTCTGGTCCCAGCTTTCGTACTGGTGAGCGTTGTGAGCTTCGGCAAATCACTTCACCTGTTGGTATCTGTTTCTTAGAAGAAGGAAATATCTACCTCAGTTGTCCTACAGGATCCTTGTGTGCATTCAGTGAGATAATATGTCAGGTGGTTTGAGATTATTAAGAATGACATTTAAATGTGATGGTATTAGTTTTATTGTTTAGGTTCTAGATTTGGGGAGCTGAGATAGTGACTCAGAGTCCAACCCTTGCGACTCAAAGTGTGGACCAAAGTGTGGAGCTTTGTAGACATGAAGATTCTTGGGGATGTTATCAGAGAACACTCTTATAGCCATCATTCCATCCGATCTTCAGAAGATCCCTTAAGGTAGGTAGAGGACACATTAACACAGCCTTACCCCCAAGAAATTAGAGACTTCAAAAGATCAATAGCTTGGGGTGCCTGGGTGGCTCAGTGGGTTAAAGCCTCTGCCTTTGGCTCGGGTCATGGTCCCGGGGTCCTGGGATCGAGCCCCACATCGGGCTCTCTGCTCGACAGGGAGCCTGCTTCCTCCTCTCTCTCTGCCTATCTCCTCTGCCTATTTGTAATCTCTGTCAAATAAATAAAAATCTTAAAAAAAAAAAAAAGATCAATAGCTTTACCTGAGAATAAAGAAGTTGATTAGGTTTAGCAATCTGAAATTGCTAGTATTCACAATACTCATAACCTAATAAGTGGTCACGTTTTCTGACATACAGTGCACACTGTAGTTCTTCTTTTTGTAGATGAAGTGCTAAAATGTCACTTAGCCTAGGTCTGGAGTGAACTAGTTGAATATCTATTTTAGGAATCAATGATTTCTTTAAAAATCCAGCATAAAAATTTAAGATTGACACAAGCGGGTTGCCTGGATCACTCAGTCATTCAGCATCTGCCTTTGGCTTGGGTCATGATCCCAGGGTCCTGGGATTGAGCCCTATGTCGGGCTCCCTGCTCAGTGGGAGGCCTCCTCCTCTCTCTCCCACTCCCCCTGCCTGTGTTCCCTTTCTCACAGTCTCTCTCTCTCAAATAAGTCAATAAAATCTTAAAAAAAAAAAAATTTGACACAACCTTGGGACACCTGCCTTTGGCTCAGGTCATGATCTTGGGGTTCTGGGATCAAGTCCTGCTTGGCAGGGAGCCTGCTTCTCTCTCTGCCTCTGCCCCTCCTCCCGGCTTATGTTCTTTCTCTTTCTCTCTGAATAATAAATAAAATCTCAAAAAAAAGATTGACACAACTTTTTGAAGTGCGTAATTGAATTATTTTGGGGTAAATAACTCCATAAAGGAGGCCTATGTTTCTTTCCCTTTTGGCATTTTTTCTCAAGGTAATTGGATGCTTTACATACTCTGCAAACAATATTTTGCTCATAGTAAGGCCCTGAGTAAATGTTTACAGAATTAGAAAATAAGTTCCTGAATTTCACAATACATGATCTGTGTTACATTTGAAATTGTGATGCATTCATTGCTGCCCTGGTAACTATTCAATGTCTTTTCTGTTCTAGGTGGAATTGGCCCATTTGCTGAAGTTTCTTTCCCTCATAGCCCAGGGAGAAATTTACATTTGGACTTTATCTTACAATGGCTTTGGTTCTCAGGTTTCTGAATGGCGCTTATATTTTCAGATATTGCCCAAAGCCATATGCCTCATGTCCATATTTGGGTACCCGCTTTGCAGGCTATTGTTCTAGTAGTCTTCAGAACCCCGTGGCTGCTTCTGGTAGAACTTCCTCTCAGAGGAAATCTGAAGGGGATTTGCAAGGACATCACCAGAGAGAAGTTGCTTTGGATATAGCATCTCCTGAAGAAAAGCCTGAAGTTAGTTTTGATAAAGCAATTAAAGATGAAATAAAGGACCATTTTAGGCGTTTGAAGGATGATATTGTGAATCATTGGATAGGCCCTGAAGGCCGCCCTCTGCATGAGGTCTTGATGGAACAAGCCAAGGTTGTCTGGCAGTTCCGTGGAAAAGAAGATTTGGATAAGTGGGTAGTGACTTCTGATAAGTCTATTGGAGGCAGAAGTGAAGTGTTCCTGAAAATGGGCAAGAATAATCAGAGTGCACTGCTGTATGGAACTCTGAGCTCTGAGGTGCCTAAGGATGGGGAAAGTGGCCGCAGTGGGTACTGTGCAATGATATCCAGGATTCCAAGGGTAAGTGAAGCCTCAGTGCCTCAGTTTTTTAGTGAACTTTGGTGAATTTGACTGTAGCACGAATAGAACCGTCGCATATGGCTTTTGTTTCCGTGAATGAACACACCTGGCAGGTCATCTGTGTATGGCGTTAAGTAACTATTGGGCACAGGTATAAAGCCGAAGCATAAGGGGGACGTGGTTCCTGAAGAAGGGGTACTTGTTACTAGGCATCACTTTGGGCCAGGGTGGGGCCATTCTTAGTTTGAGGAGTCCTGAGTCCTGAGAAGTCAGACGTTTAAACAGTGATTTGGGGAGATTTGCATCTTTTCTAATAGATCACAGATCCTGTGATGGTCAGGGGTTCCTTAGAGTAGATGGAGGGTCGCCTGTGGCTTTATTTTTCTTAAGTAAACTTTTTATTTTAGAATAGTTTTAGTTTTACACAAGAATTGTACAGAGTCCAGAAAGTTCCATGTGTCCCTCACCCATTTTCTCCAACTGTTGCCATCATAACATTGCTATAGTACATTTATCACAACTAAGAAACCAACATTGGTACATACTATTAACTAATTCTGGATACTATTTGGATTTTACCAGTTTTTCCATTTTTTGTTCCAGGATCCCACCTGGGACACCACATTACATCCAGTTGTCATGTCTCCTTAGGCTCTTTAGTCTCCTCTCGTCTACTATAATTTTCTAGTCTTTCCTTATTTTTCATGAGGATGTGAGAAATCCTGGCCTGGCATTTTGTGGAATACCCTTCAATTCGGGATTTTCTGATGTTTTTTTTCTCCTGGTAGGTCTGGGTTGTTGGATTTTTAGGAAGAATACTATAGAGTTGAGGTACCCTTCTCATCACTCTTATCAGGGGCTCATGCTAGCAACCTGACTTAACACTGATGGGTTCACCGTGACCACCTGGCCAAGATAGTGTTCCTCCAGTACTCCATTGTTAAATTACTTTTTTTCTTTTTCTTTCCATACACTGTTTGGAAGCAAGTCAGTAGGTGTGTCCTATATTCAAGTCGTGGGGTAGGGCATGGGTTTAAGTTGTATCTCTTGAAAGGAGTGGTATTTACACAAATTATTTGGGATTCTTTAGAAAGGAAGATTGATTTATTCTCCCACATTTATTTATTTAGTCAGGCGTCATTTTGTGTGGCTCTCGAACTTCTGGTTATAATCCAGTACTATGTTATTTACTTTGTTGCTCAAATTGTTTTAACTTTGGCCATTGGCAGCTCTTTCAGGTTGGGTTTTGTTCCTTTGACATGCCTCTATTTTTTTGTTTTTTAGCACTTTCTTGCACTACAGGATACTCTAAACACATCTTGTATTTTCTCTGTCCCAGCACTAGAATTAGCCATTTCTCGAAGGAGCCCTTGTTTGTTTTTTTGGAGCTGTGGGTGCTTGGGTATACTTGTTGCTACTGGGTTGACATTACTTCCAGGACCTCTTAGTGGACACGGCAGGAAATACAAGGATGTGCACCAACCCCATCTAGAGATGTGGAAACATGCCTGTAATGATTTCTATATCTGTAGTACACTAAATATGAGTTCATGCTGTGCTCTGACTCTAATCCGGTACCATGTGGTTCATCCTGAGCTTCTCCCTGTTGCTTATCTATAATTTCCCTCTATAATAGTGGGAAACCTGTCTCCCATCACTTACCATCAGTTTACCTATGAATTCAACCCCAGGGTACATACAAAGCAGTTTTATAACATTTTTTTTTTTAAGATATTATTTATTTATTTGTCAGAGAGAGAGAGGGAGAGCGAGCGAGCACAGGCAGACAGAATGGCAGGCAGAGGCAGAGGGAGAAGCAGGTTCCCTGACGAGCAAGGAGCCCGATGTGGGACTCGATCCCAGGACGCTGGGATCATGACCTGAGCCGAAGGCAGCTGCTTAACCAACTGAGCCACCCAGGCGTCCCAGTTTTAGAACTTTTAACCCATAACTCTGTGAGAAATAAGCTTACCAGCCAGAATACAGTGTTTGTATATAGTTTCTTTTGTCTTTAGCCTTATAGTTTCTAATCACAACACTGTTTTCCACAGTTACTTTGGTTGACTCCTTTGTCTTACCATCAACCTGTGGCTTTTTGCAAATTTGCTGACCAGGTGTTATTCCAGGGCTGCCTGCACAGGCTCCCATGCCTGGCCTTGGCCACATCCCCTGGATGTTTGCTTGGATATTGTGCACTAAGGAGAATGGCAAATGTTAGGCATAGTCTTAGGCTTCCTCTATCCAGATAATGATGAGAAAGAAAGATATGTGTTGTTGGAGAGACATATGCTTTCAAAGATTTTTTTTTTCCCCAGAGCCTGAAATCCACAGAATGGATTTGGTCATTCCACAGTAGAAAATAATTCTGCAGTTAGATACACACTGGGGGGTATTGAAAATAGGTGATAAAATTTATTAAGTGTGCCCTGCCAGTCCTTGCGCTACTTTATATATGTTTATATATAAATGTATATAAATATATCTATCTATCTATCTATCTGTATCCCTCTCTATATATATTTACATCCCTTTAATTCCTCCCAACTCTCCTCCAAGGTGTGGTCATCCTCTTCTTATAGATGAGGGAACTGAGGCTTTGGGAGATTTAGAAACTTGTCTAAGGTTATATAGCTACTTGGGTACCTGGGTGGCTCAGTTGGTAGAGCAACGGACTCTTGGTTTCTGCTCAGATGGTAATCTGAGATTGAGCCCTGTGTGGGACTCCAAGCTCATGTGGAGTCTGCTTGTCCTTCTCCCTCCCCCTCTGCCCCTCTTCCACACACACCCTCTTCGTGCTTGGTGTGTGTACCCACTCTCTGTTTTTTTTTTTTTTTTAAGGTTTTATTTATTTGTCCAAAAGAGAGAGAGAGAGTGTGCAGCGCACACAAGTAGGGGGAGCAGCAGGCAGAGGGAGAGGGAGAAGCAAGCTCCCTGCTGAGCAAGGGGCCCAACTCGGGACTCTATCCTAGGACCCTGAGATCATGACCCATTTAACCCACCAACTTAACCAACTGAGCCACTCAGGTGTCCCAGTGTCTTTCTCTCTTTAAAATAAACAAATAATACCTTTTAAAAAGTTATACAGCTAGTAAATAATAGTTCATATGTGAGCACTGCTCTTCTTGAAATCAGATTACCTTTGAGATTGGTATAAATAAACACCTTTGTTAATTAACACTATGTTCCACTTTTCCTGCAAGAGACAGTATAGATAGTTGTTAAGAATACAGATTTTGGGGCGCCTGGGTGGCTCAGTGGGTTAAAGCCTCTGCCTTCAGCTCAGGTCATGGTCCCAGGGTTCTGGGATCGAGGCCCGCATCAGGCTCTCTGCTCAGCAGGGAGCCTGCTTCCTTCTCTCTCTCTGACTGCCTCTCTGCCTACTTGTGATCTCTCTCTCTGTCAAGTAAATAAATAAAATCTTAAAAAAAAAAAAGAATACAGATTTTGGAGTTAAATGGCACTGGATCTGCCACTTCCTAGTTGAGTGCTCAGTTTCTTCATCTATAAGATGGAGCACAATGATAGTACCTATCTCATAGGGCTATGAGGATGAAATTATGCCCTCAGAGTGAGTGCTTAGGGTAAGTTTTCCATGGATAGTAGCTATTTTTATAAAACAGCAGTTTTAAAACTTCACCTCTTTCATAGGTTTCCTATCTATGGGAAGGCAGCTGTCATGTACACTCAGAATCCATTGCTCCATAGGACCAGGGAAAAAAGGTACATAGTGTAATTCATTTCCATTCATTGATACAATCGAGTGCCTACCACACGTCAACACTGTCCTGGGCCAATCATGTCTTGAACATTACCTTAGAAACAAAACTGTGTCAGTATTTTGTACTAAAATAAGAATCACCAGATTTGTCTGCCTCCGAATGGTGGTAGAAAAGTCAGAAAAATGCCTAGTGGATCCTTTTGATGCTGCAAAAGATAATGACTCACATTTTGCTTTTGGTGGAAAATGAAATGAGTTAATTTTCCTTTCTGTATTGTAGGGCCCTTTTGAGAAAAAGAGGGCTTATGATTGGTCCCAGTTCAACACTCTGTATCTCCGTGTACGTGGAGATGGTCGGCCTTGGATGGTGAATATCCGGGAGGACACGGATATAATCCAGAGGAGGAATCAGATGTACAGTTACTTCATGTTCACCCGTGGGGGGCCCTACTGGCAGGAGGTCAAGGTAACAGTACAAGTCCTTACTGTGTATGAAAATAAAGTCTTGAGATCATGGTTACACTGTTGTTTGGTTCATTTGTTTTCCTTATTAATCCTTCTTAGAAGGTGTGGAAAGGGAAAGAAGATAACTGACTTAAGGGTAAGACTTATATAATTGATTTTTTCTTTCATTAATATAAATGCTAGTTTCCTAACCAGTAAATATTTTTTATGAAGTTGTGACTAGGTCCATGCTAAGTCATGGATACATGTGTGCTCTAGGTGCAAGTAGGTGTTTAAGTTTCTGCCATATTCTCTCTCTAGGCAACTCCCTAAGAGCAATAAATGCTTCCTATTTCACAATCATGAAATTTTTATTTATTTCTTGGTAATACAATACTTTGTGAGAAGAAGCTTTGAGAAGTTAAAAAATGTTAGCCTGAAGGAAAATAAATAGAAATTCAGGGAATGAATTTCAACTGCCTATTCTTTTCTTCTGCCTACTGAAAGATTTTTAATCCTTAAACTCAAAAGAAAGTCCCCGTTTTGCTTATACTTAAACCTAAGGGTCATTCTGGATTCCTTTCTCCCTCATCCCACATATAGTCTGTTAGCAAATCTTATCACCTATTCCTCTGAAATACACCCAGAATCTGACCATTTCTCGCCCATCTCTCTCACTGTCATCTCAGTGCCTTTGGATTACTACAGCAGCTGCTTTATTGGTTTCCTTTGCTCTCTTGCCTCCTAAAATCTACTCTCCACATAGCAGCCAGAGTGATCTAACAGCATAGTGCAGATTACATCACTCACATGCTTAAAAACCTCTGCTGGCTTCCCCTTACAATCAAATTAAAGCCCAAACTCTTTAACATGGCTTACTGGGCCTATAGTATTGGACTCCTGTCGTTATCCTGCGTCTCCCGCCTACCTCACTCCTCCATACTGGCCCCTTTCCTATGTGTCACACCCAACAAGTTCACCTCCCTCTCAGAGCCTTTGCACTTCATGTTTATCTCGGGTATGCTCTTCCCCCATAGTCTCACCTGCTTCCTCTTTTCTGTCCTTCACCTGTCAGGTTGAAATTCACCTCAGAGATGTCTGACCCCTGTAGCTAGAGTTGTACCCTGTAACCCAGGTACTTTGAGTGACATTACTCTGTTTTTTTTTTTTCTTTTTTCTTTTTTAAGATTTATTGATTTGAGGGGTGCCTGGGTGGCTCAGTCGTTAAGCATCTGCCTTTGGCTCAGGTCATGATCCTATATGTTTTATAATATACGTTGTTCACTGAATTTTACATGTAACTTTCTGCTGAAATATTTTTACGTTTTTAATTTCTGCTTAAATTACTATATAAACCAACCAGATTTTAGTTATTTCATCCTTTATTATTGTACATTTAGATTGTTTTCAGAATTTTGTACTGTTGTACCAAACTCTGAAGTAGATAACCTTATTTTCTTAGGATATATTCTTAGAAATAACATTCCTAGAATAAATGATTTATTTTTAAGGCATTTGCACATTGCCATATTATTCTATAGTATTACTATTTAATTGTTAACGATTACTTTCTTCCCTGAAAATACATAGTCCTAATCTTTGTCTGGAAAGAATAGTTGTTTGCAACAGCTCTCTTTAAATTATTGAGGGAAAGTGATGGGGAAGAGATTTTTCTTTTATTAGAGTATTATTGAAGTACTGTGTTATATTAGTGTCAGGTGTGCAACATAGTGATTCAGCATTTATATATATTACTCAGTGCTCACCACCATTAAGTGTAGTCACATGAGGTTTTTATTTTTTTAAGATTTTAGTTATTATTGGTGCCTAGGTGGCACAGTGGGTTAAGCCTTCGCCTTTGGCTCAGGTTATGATCTCAAGGTCCTGGAATTGAGCCCTGTGTCGTCGGGCTTCCTGTTCAGCAGGAAGCCTGCTTCTTCCTCTCTCTCTGCCTACCTCTCTGTCTACTTGTGATCTCTCTCTCTGTCAAATAAACAAATAAAATCTTTAAAAAAAATTTTTTTTAGTTATTATTTAAGAGAGAGAGCAAGCCTACATAGGCAGGGGGAGGGGCAGATGGATAGGGAGAAGCAGACACCCGAGTGGGGAACCCAGTGTCTCCATCCCAAACATCGAAGGCAGATACTTACTAAGCCACCCGGGTGCCTAAGAGGTTTTTTTGTTTTTTTTTTTGCCTAAGAGGTTTTTGTTTTGTTTTAGATTTTATTTATTTATTGACAGAGATTGCACAGGTAGTGGGAGAGGGAGAGAGAGAAGCAGACACCCCGCTGAGCAGGGAGTCTGATGTGGGACTCGATCCCATGACCCTGAGATCATGACCTGAGCCGAAGGCAGAGGCTTAACCCACTGAGGCACCCAGACGCTCAAGAGGTTTTTAATTAAATGTTACTAATTGCTGTTCGGTTGTTCATGAATAAGTCTCCTGTAGTAAATAGAAGTGAGATGCTCAAATATTTACTCTGATTATGGAGAGAAAACAGGAAAATGATGGAAAAATTATATAGTTTACTGTCACTTATAAAGAACTGTGCATCCTTTTCTTTTATACAAGATGTAATGTTCCTTCTTAGCTTTTATCCAGCCAAAAATATCTAGTTCTCTTGGTGTAGACAGTGGTTTTAGAGAATTGTGTCAAAAAGACAGAAGAGATTAGTTTGCGGAATGGTGCAGTATGTGACACATGACACATGATAAGCCGGTAGCCTTGATTCCATTTCCACAATGTTTTGAATAATGAGGTAGTCGAACTGCCAAACTAGGATGCAAAATGAGAAACTGATTGGGGGGGGGACCTCTCCAGGTTTGTTTGAGAGGAATGAAGGGAGCGGGGGAACTAGGATGTGACCATATATATATATGTATGTATGTATTTATTATTGATTTATGACTTATTTATTCAGATTTCTTTATTTTAGAGCAAGTGAGCATGAGCGGGAGAGGTAGAGGGAGAGAGAATCTCAAACAGACTCCATGTTGAGCAGGGAGCCTGATGCAGGGCTCCATGCAGCACACCACCCTGAGATCATGACCTGAGTGGAAACCAGTGCTTAACTGACTGAGCCACCCACATGCCTCTGGATATGACTGCATTTTAATCTGCTGTGTGACCAGTGTGATCTTGTATAGTGGTGGGTTAGAATCTGAGTTTTTGAGTTTGTTTTTATGTCAACAAGTGCTTTTGGTGATAAATAATCTGAACAGCACATTTTTTTTAAACATTTATATTTTTTGGCTCAAAAATCAAAGTCTAAAATGATGTACAGTGAGAAGTCTTACTCCCACTTGTGTCCCCATCCACCCTCTTGGTGCCCACCCTGGGTAGGTAGTCACTTTTCAGTAGTTTCTTGTGTAGCTTGGCAGTTACATTATGAAGATATAAGCAAAAATAAGTACTTACTCCTAGTTTCTCCAGTTTTTCCTACTCAAAAATAAAAATAGCATGCTTTGGGCATATTCTGTGCTTATTTTTAAAATTTAAATCCTAGGGGTGCTTATGTGGCTCAGTGGTTAAGCGACCGACTCTTGTTTTCAGCTCGGGTTGTGATCTCAGGGTCATGAGATCAAATCCAACATCAGGCTCTGTGCTGGGTGTGGAGGCTTCATAGGATTCTATCCCTCTGCACCCCTACCCCTCTAAAAAAATAAATAAAATTTAAATCCCAGAGAGCTTCCATATCAATGTGTGGAGTTATTCTCCTTTTTTTGTTATTTTGTTTGGTATTTTTGGTTATATGGAAATCCTATAGTTGATTCCTCTATTAATAGACACTGGGTTGTTCCCAGTTGCTATAAGTTTTTTTAAAATTTTTTTTGAGGTGTTATTTTAAAAAAAAATTTTATTTTTAAATATTTTATTTATTTATTTGACAGAGAGCAAGAGAGGGAACACAAGCAGGGGAAGTGGGAGAGGGAGAAGCAGACATCCTGCTGAGCAGGGAGCCGGATTCATGGCTCGATCCCAGGACCCTGGGATCATGACCTAAGCCAAAGGCAGACTGTTAATGACTGAGCCATCAAGACACCCCTTTGGGGCGCCTGGGTGGCTCAGTGGTTAAAGCCTCTGCCTTCGGCTCAGGTCATGATCTCAGGGTCCTGGGATCGAGTCTCGCATCGGGTTCTCTGCTCAGCAGGGAGCCTGCCTCCTCCTCCTCTCTCTCTCTGCCTTCCTCTCTGCCTACTTGTGATCTGTCAAATAAATTAAAAAAAAAAAAAAAAAAGGACACCCCTTTGAGGTGTTTTTAAAATTTGTGTTTCTACTGTGGATTCTGTCTTCTTCACTAATATATAGGTTTTCCCATTGTATCCTGTGTAGATCTGCATTAAGAAAATAGCTGCAGGGGTGCCTGGGTGGCTCAGTGGGTTAAGCCTCTGCCTTCGGCTCAGGTCATGATCCCAGGGTCCTGGGATCGAGCCCCGCATCGGGCTCTCTGCTCAGCAGGGAGCCTGCTTCCCCCTCTCTCTCTGCCTGTTGCTCTGCCTACTTGTCATCTCTGTCTGTCAAATAAATAAATAAAATCTTTAAGAAAAAAAAAAAATATATGCATAGTGTTAAGTGTATAGATGCACCATAATTTAACCATTCTCCTATTTTTCCTTTTTTTCTATTAGGAAAAGCTACATTTTTTTTTAAGATTTTATTTATTTATTTGACAGAGAAATCACAAGTAGGCAGAGGGAGAGGGGGAAGTAGGCTCCCTGCTGAGCAGAGAGCCCCGATGTGGGGCTCGATCCCAGGACCCTAGATCATGACCTGAGCCAACGGCAGAGGCCTAACCCACTGAGCCACCCAGGTGTCCAGAAAAAGCTATACCTTTATGTATTTGTCAGAGTTTATAACATATATTCCTAAAAGTGAAATTGGTAGGTCAGAGTTACAGCATTTCAAAATTTGCTGAATACTGCCATTAGTGGGGCGCCTGGGTGGCTCAGTCGGTGAAGTGTCTGCCTTCAGCTCAGGTCATGATCCCAGAGTCCTGGGATCAAGCCCAACATCGGGCTCCTTTTTTGACAGAGAGCCTTATTCTCCCTCTGCTTCTGCCTGCTGCTCCCCCTCCTCATGCTCTGACAAAAAAATAAAATCTTAAAAAAAAAAATTGCCATTAGTTTTCTACATAAAACATTGCCATAAACTTAGCAGCTTCAAATGGCCCGTGTTTATTAGTTCACAGTTCAATAGGTCATGAGTTGGTGCTCGGTATAGCTGGGTTCAATGCTTGGGGCCTAGAAGGCTAAATTCAAGGTTGTCAACTGGGTTGTATTCCTTTCCAGAGGCTCTGGGGAAGAATCCACTTAAAAGTTCATTGTAGTTTTTGGCCAGATTCAGTTCCTATGATTATAGGACTAACATCCTGCTTTCTGTACTGGCTGTCATCTGAGTGCCACTCTCAGCTCCTGGAAGCTTCCAGCAATCCTTGTCATTTTGCTTCTGCCCTTTTCAGCCCCAGCAGTGAAGAATCTGCTCCCAAGAGATGCTTTTAACCTCTTTTGCCAGTCCTCCTGTGGGCTCAAGTGATTAAGTTGGGCCTTCAGAGGATAATCTTCCATATATTAAGGTCGGGTGCTTTGGGATCTTCCTCAGCAGCAGATGTTAGGGTGAATACCTGGAAGGTGTGTGGATACAGAAGGTGGAAATCTTGGGGCCCTCATAGACTCCTGCCTCCCAGTTGTGGGCTACAGTCTGAGTCGTGCCAGTCTGTACGCTTACCAGTAGCATACAAGTGTGCCCATTTCTCCCCTTCCCCATGTTTCCATTGATTGTTAAATCTTAGTCACCTGTGAAAGCTTTGTAGCTACTAGTTTTTGTCCATAAATGTTGGAAATATTTTTTTCCTAATTTATCTTTTGCCTTTGCTGTCAAAAAATTAAATTGTACTCTTACCATTTTTCCTTTGGGATTTCTGGCTTAGAAAGGTTTTCATCTATCACTTACTATTTCAATTAAAAAATATATCTATGATCCAAATGCCTGGCCACTTCTCATAACTGTAAATTAGAACTGTAAGATTAGAATCAAAGAATGTTAGAATTAAACTATCACTGCAGTTCCATTACAGATGCCTCAGTTGCTTGTATTTTAGCTCTGAAGTAAATGGTTTCTCTTTTCAGATTCCTTTCTCCAAATTTTTCTTCTCTAATCAAGGAAGAATTCGGGATGCCCAGTACCAGCTTCTGCTTGACAAGGTAGTATTTTCCTGTACTTTCACTCAGAGCTGTGATCTTTAGTGAAACAAAACTCCTGTGAGGATTTCAAGTCCATTTTTGAGGGTTGGCAAATGAAGGATGAAAATTCTTAACAAGGTCACCCCTGGTATTCCACACACAGACTGACTCAGACCTGTTCTATGAACCAAACCATGCAGGAGGACTTCTAGTGTGGTCATCTTTTCAGCTTGCCTACATTTAATTTAGCTCCAAAATAAGAGAACAGTATTCCAGTTCAGGAGGGCTTCAAGGATCCTCCATTAGATATCCATGCTGTCCTCACCAGTCTTAAGTGGCACTACTTTAAAGAAAGGGAAGAGGAGTAGAAAGAAAATCAGCCCTCCACTTCCTTTTATGATTTGCTACAGCATAGAACTATGGTATACTTGTTAAGGCCTGATAGTGTAAAGACCCAGTTATATTAATCACCTTATGGAACTTAAACTCCACGAACAGTGTCAGTGTATGAGATTTTGATCAGTTTCTCTATTTTAAATGTAGATCTCTTCTATTGGATTCACCTTGGCTGATAAAGTGGATGGTCCATTCTTCCTGGAAATAGATTTTATTGGAGTGTTTACAGATCCAGCCCACACAGAAGAGTTCGCCTATGAAAATTCTCCAGAGCTTAACCCAAGACTTTTTAAATAGAGATGGTAATTTTGTAGTACCAAACTAAGAGTAGCAGTATCCGTGATGACCGAGACAAATAAAGTATTTAATGGCTCTCATCCAACAGCTGGTATGTATTCCCTGAGCCAAAGGTAAATGCTGTTGCCAAGAGGGGCCACACAGTGAGACGCAGCATGAAACTAGGTTCTAAGCTATAACTTAATGCAAGTCCTGATGTGGAGGTACTATATAAAGAACTATTGTGGGTTAAAATGATTTGTTAGGAACAATTCCTACACACATACACATTGCCAAAGCAAGCAGCCCTCAAAATGACTGTTGATGTCCTTCTCCTACTCTGTTCCTTGTAGGTTCTTGTGTTTTTATTTTTTTAAAGATTTTATTTGACAGAGTAGTAGACACAAGTAGGCAGAGAGGCAGGCAGAGAGAGGGGGGGAAGCAGGCTCCCCACTGAGCCAGATGCGGGGCTCGATCCCAGGACTCTGGGATCATGACCTGAGCTGAAGGCAGAGGCTTAACCCATTGAGCCACCCAGGTGCCCCGGTTCTTGTGTTTTCTAATCCATCGTTGGAGGAAAGGAGATTGCTGAAGATTGCCATACAATCCAGTGATTTTTAGTATATTCACAGACTTGTCGATTTTTATCACAAGCTAATTTTAGAAAATTTCTCTCTGCCCTAGAAGTAACCTTAATACCCCTTGGGCAGGCATTCTTAATTCCCACCCCCTGCCCCAGGTGTCTGCTGATCTGCTTTCCCATAGGTTCAGCTTACCTGGATATGTCCCACAAAGACAATTATGTAATATGTAATCTTTTATGTCTGGCTTCTTTTCACTTAGCATAGTGTTTGTGAGATCCATCCATGTTGTAATATTAGGACTTTATTTCCTTTTAAGTGCATCATTTTTAATCTATTAATGGACAACTGGATTTTCTTTACTTTTTGGCTACAATGAATACTACTACTGTAAATATCAGCCTGTAAGTTCTTATGTGGACATGTGCTTCTTTTTCTTGGGTATATACCTAGGAATAGAAGGTCATGTGCCTCTTGTGCTTCAATGTTACACATGCCATTGCTGGGTAATATGGTAGATTACATATATATATAAAATTTTTTTTTTTTTTTAAGATTTTCTTTTTTGGTTGAGAGAGAGCACAAACAGGGGGAGCAGCAGAGGGAGAGAGAGAAGCAGGCTTCACACCAAGCAGGGAGCCCGATGAGGAGCTCGAACCCAGGAACCTAGGATTATGACCTGAGCCGAAGGCAGTTGCTTAGCCGACTGAGCCACACAGGCTCCCCTGTGGTAGACATATTTAAGAAACTACCAACCTGTTTTCCAAAGTGATTATATCCTTTTACCTTCTTAGCTGCAGTGCATTTGACGGTGATTTAATTGATCTGATTCTGCTTAAGAGCAAAATCTGAGTTTATTCATCACTAGGAGTATGCCAACCTTCTGTGGGCTCGTATATGTTTAACAGTAAGTATAACAGAGTTGGACATGTGCTGTGAAAAATACAAGGGGATGACCTGGTCATTTCTCCTTAGGGTGAGAAGAGGTGGTCAGGACAGATGCACAGAGTATAAGTAAGCTTGTTAATCTTAGCTGGTCAACTCAATCATGAAGTAATTTACAAAGAATCTACCACCATGAGAAAACATTTATGAAAATCTTGAACAGTACAAAGCTCAGAAGGTCCACCTCAGTGCAATAAACATGGCTAGGAGGCTAAGTAACTCTAGTCTTTTCCATGAAGTAACTCTGACAGAGCAGACCGATCCTTGAAGCAGCAATCCTCAGATTTCAGTATGGCCCTGTTTATTTTTAAATGTCAGGCTAGAATGAACTGTAGAGTTTTTAAGAATATATTGAGTGACAGACGGCAATTACATCAAGTGATCTGAACAAACATGCATAGGTAACAAAACACTTCTCAAAGTAGAATATGCCATCACTAACCCATTTGGTTCCCTGTTTCATTAAGACTACTTGATTTTCTAGGGGAGGAAGAGGTGGCTTTCTCAGCTTGTTAGTGGTCCAAGTTCTACTAAAGCTTGTGGGAGAACTACCTCCCATCAGGTAAATGCTTCTGTCTAGAAGAGGATTCCAGTTCTGTCAGCAGAGGGAACTTGACGTTAAAAATCTAGGTCAAGAATCTATAGGATGAGTCACTGGAAAACTGAATTGTACAGAGATAGGTAAAAACCATTTGAAAGAATCTGTGAGCTTTAAGGTTAGTAACATCTTTTCAGGGATGTAGCATGTGAGGTAAACCACCAACACTACATAGATAGTGAACAAAGCAGAAGAATCTTTTGACTAAAGTGGGGAAGACAGTAGAAAAAAATATTTACACTAAAGAAAGGGTTCAGAATAAAATACTATTTACAGGATGTTAAAAAATTAATCTTCAGCCATAATGAGGCCTCTCCGAGCTCCTAAAACCTTTGCTTTCTTCTCCTTTCGTCTTTGCTCATGTTGTTTCCGTTGTTCCTCCCTAAAGAGGGGGACAGGTACACATTAGGGTCTAGTGAAGCTCCACAGAAGTCCACTTTAAAGCACCTGTCAGATCAGTATCTAAGCTTAAGCTGAAATCCAGTATAGTTGTACAAAACACACTTACAGGACACTGTCCTCTAGCTAGTGCCCTATGGAAACCACAGCTCTATGTCACTTGTGTTAAAAGGGCTAGGAAACTGGTATTTTCCTTTTTATATTAATGCAGCATTCTAAAATTAAGCATGGAACTGGAACAAAAGACACCTCAGTACCTTTATTTGTTTTAAATGAGAAATCTCTGCCTTTGGAAGTCAGAGGTCAGGCTCAAAATCAAAGTCTGGTGGAAGTACTAGAACTAGGTCTGCTGATCTAAGCCACTCTGTTTCTGGAAGGGATTAGGGATTGGTAGGAGGGGATGGGGGAGGCTAGTTTTATGTTAAACTTAAAAAAAAAATAATGAAGTAATCGCTCCACCTAAGGTGGGGCTCAAACTCACAATCCCAAGATAAAGAGTCACATGCTCTTCCAGCTGAACCAGCCAAATGCCCCTATGTTAACAATCTTAATAGCCAATATAGGTAGTAAATAAATGTCTTGGTGAGAGCTGGATATAGGCAAGTCAAATGATGGGTAATCCTGTTATCAGGATGGTTTCATTCAGGGAATCAACGTAGCCAGGACCAGCTAAAACCCACAGCAAGCTTTGGGCTTTGGTTTTCACACAGAAGGAAGCCTCTAAGGATCATTCGGGGATTTCTTCTAGCTAAGGCCTTGAAGCCTAGTAAGCCTGGTTTCCCTGGGACTGAAGAACTTACACCTGCGCACTTGGATCGGCATCTGGGGGCGGGGGGGGGGGGGGGGGGGGACACATCCAGGTACACTGTTGGGGCTGGTAGGTCATGTGAGAGCAGGGTCTCCTTGTGTATCACCTGTCAAGCTTTGGAAACAGTGCAGTTGCTTGCGCCCCTCCTCCCAATTACTGAATTAAAAAACCACTGTGGTGGGCCCTAGGCGTGTATATCTTCAAGAAGTTCTATATGTGATCCCATGACTACCCTTTTCTTAAACACCACTGTTAATGACACTCTGTACCTCAGAGGCTTTGCTTTTACATACAGTCTTTCAAAATTAAAATTACTGTAGAACTGGGTAATTATGTACTCACCTAGTCTGGAGAGGAGGTTGTTTGTAAGTTTTCTTGTGAAAGCTAACTCTGTTTACATGTTCCTTCAGAGAATTATTTTCTTTAGATTGACCCCATGGTTTCAGTTTGCCTGGTTTAGGAGAGAAAGATTTAAGAAGATTCTATTTATATTACCTCTTTTATTCTCTTCATCTGAGGCTACTTGCTATGAATATTTATACTTCATTTTTATTGACATTTGCCTGTATAATTCCATTAGTTTTAGTTCCTATTCCACAAAATATAAATTGTATCCCCCCCCCCTAAAAACAAGGGTTTTTGTTTTTTTGAAAGAGTAAGAGAAAGAGCTCATGTGCACACATGGCTTGGAGGGGCAAAGAATCTCAAGCAGACTGCTGAGCACAGAGCCTGATGTGGGGCTTAATCTCAGGACCCTGAGATCATGTCCTGAACTGAAATCAAGAGTTTGACGCTTAACTCACTGAGCCACCCAGGCACCTAGAGAAGTCTTACTGTTTTTAAAGCAATTCTAGGGACGCTTGGGTGGCTCAGTCGGTTAAGCATCTGCCTTAGGTTCAGGTCATGATCCCAGGGTGCTGGGATCAAGTCCCATGTTGGGCTCCTTGCTCAACAGGGAACCTGCTTCTCCCTCTGCCTGTGGCTCCCCCGATAAGATTTTTTTAAGAAATATATCTATATAAAGCAATTCTGGAATTATGGAAGGACCACAAGAAGTATTGGTGGTGGTGGTGGTGGTGGTTAGTATTGGTTTTAAATGGATATATGGATACTTTAATGTATGCCCAATTTATATGGGCATTTATATAGCCAATAACCGTCCCAGGTTGTTGGGTGGGTGGATTCCAGCCTGGGATCCTTTCGAAAGTGGTAAAGAACACATTCGTCTATAGGCCAATTTCCAAGTTTCTTGATTTTTGCCTGAAATTTTATTATTTCTTTGCTGTAACACTGATTAGAAGTTATGGCTTTGATTTACAAAAATGTAAGTGAATTGATTAGTATTTGCTTAGTGGATAGTTTTTAAAATTATGGGTCATGTGGACCCAGGGGGAAGAAATTCTAGGTGGCCAAGTACAGCTTTCCGCTGAGGCATTAGAATTTTCCACATCCTCAGACGTAGAACTGTTTAATCCTACGTCTTTGGCATGTCTTGTATCTCAGAGCATCTGCACGTACCTTTGTGTGGCTCATAGTTGAGGGGACGAGACAGACTTGCTTTGAGATCAAACACTGGCTTCTTGCTGGAGACTGGAGTCTGTGCTGCCTGAGTTGTCAGCCTGAATGGTGTAACGACTACAAAACCAAGGAACAAAACCCCAGGGCTTAATTAGGGGGAAAATAAAAGGCCTATGTGGTTTTTTGTTGAAGTACTGTTTCTCAGTCTTAAATATATCATCTCTGTGAACAGTCTCAAACATGTAGTTTTAAAAAGGAAAGGGGGGGAAAATAACTAAGGAAAGCTAATCACTGAGGCTTCCCTTGTGAATAGCTCCCCAAATAGTCTCAATATTAGGATATTTCCTAGAATCAGCTGGGAGTTGAAAATCCTGTTTAAATAATTGGGTAAATGTTCAGGCTGTGTCCCTCATATTATTTACCCTTCAAAAATGTTAATAATTTAGTGGTGATTACAGGGTCAGAGGAAACAGCAATGCAATCTCTGGGTGCAGGACTATAGGTGCTCTTTATATTTTCTTTATAACTTTTTGTATTTTTCAAGTTTTCTATGATGAACACTCATTTTACCTTTCAAAATCAAAGTGAAATGTCTTTGGAAAAAAATGTTAATAGTAACATTTTCATTCACATGGATATAAAGCCTGCAGGAACCTAATCAGATACGGCAGACAAGATTTGTGGCTCTGGTTGTCAGGTAATAGAAGCGGTTATTTAAAAATGTGAATTTTTGTACTGTAAAGTTAATATACCAGAATGCTAGGACTCTAGTAAGCCAAATTTTCACTACAGTTGGGCACCATGTATAAGGCACATTTTATTAATTCTCTCCCATTGCAGGCTGTTGAATGTCAGCACTTGCATGTAAGTATGAATAAGCAACTAAGATCTAGGACCACGCAGTTAAGTGAGAAAAGCACAAAACCCCTCTGCGTATCATCCCATGGTGTGGCTGTCAGGTGCCAGCAGTGGGGGAACACGGGCCATCCACAATGCCGAGCAGTTTCAGTAGCTACCATTCAAGCTGGCCAGTATACCCCAGTCCATCTGAGCTCCAGAGAAGTGCTCTCATATATACAGGAGACATTGTTAAGAATGGTCATGACACTAAACAAAAGCTGGAAATACCCACATATATACTGCTTCTGGACTCGCTTAAAATGTAGCTGTCAGCCTCACGTTTCTGTCTTTAAGGTATGAAGAAACTCTCATAGAGTCTCTACGTAGATTATTAACCGACACAGTCTCAGAGGAGTTGGCGAGCCTTTCTATGTGATCATGGCTCTTGGCTGACGTATTCAATGGGACTCTCAGGAGAATTTTGACATAGTTCTAATACAGGCCTCAATCTCCTGGTTGTAGTTTTGTTTGTTTGTTTGTTTTTAACTTTGTACTGCTACTGCAGTATTCTTTTGAAAACCACCTAGTCCTTTTAGGTGATTAAGTAGACCGTGTGTAGAAGAGTGTCCATATGGCTTATTCTGGCTTACATAATCTATTAGTCCATTGTGTGGCATTTATTCCACCGACTCTGGGATCCTATTAGTTTCACAATCCTGGAAGGCCAGTCAGAGGCTGTAATGAGTACTGTGATCCTCCTTCTAATCCCGGAGTCCGGGAATGGGCTGAATGCTCTTCAGGGAGGGTCACGGTCTTGGGACTCCTTATAGCAAGATGGAGTCCTCAGGCAGATACCTGTTTTTTGTTCGTGTCTCTGGCATTTTCTTCACCCATACAGAATGAAAAATATGCTATGCTCAAATTTTTGCTTTGGATTTATAGTTATGGAGAAGCTTTCAGTAAACAAATAAACTTAATAATTTGAGGAAGTTACATGGCTTAAAGATGAACCAGAGTTGTTTTTTTGTTTTACCAGAAGTGGAATTCCCAGTTGTGGTCTTTATCTTGTATATCCCGAGCACAGCCTGGCCTTTTGGGGTACTCCCAGATATGGTCACATGTGGAGACCTTCTGGCTGGAGTCTTGGTCAGTGAACGCTTATGCTCATTATCTTTGGTAGCAGCTGAAAACCTGAACAGGACAGTGGAGTACCAAACATGAGTGTTTGTGTGAAGAGTAACTTGTGTCAAGCATAAAAGCAAAACCACCTGTGAAAGGGCTCAAATAGGGACTTGTTACGTGAATGAACCTCTTTTGCAGAATAAACATTTTACAACACTTGATTTGTAAAATACGGTTTTGTATTTGCTGCTTTCCTTGCCTTGCCCAGTGACAGGACAAAGTAGAGCTCCAAGGGAATGCCTTTGGGGCTCAAATTACAGTTTAGGAGGTACTTTAACTACTCCGCCTTTTTTCCTCCTGGTGACGGCCTGTCAGGGAACAGGAGATTGCTGTGCCAGATAAGTGATGGGGACAGTCTTCCTAGTAAATGGTCATTCATTTAAATGGTACATAACCCTGTTCTCCTGGCAAATTGCCATAAATTTATTCTACTGATTATGATGCATATTTCTTATGCATTTTAACGTCTGAAATTGGGTTGTGTTTCATAATTAGTAACACATGATAACTGGCAGTGGTTTTTTTTTTAGTGGTTCATAAAGTAATGAGTCTCCATTTGATGGTGTCTTAGAGTCAGCGAAACTCAAGAAGGACAGACGTAAATTTACACGATGGTGGTGGTGGTAGGTTAATAGAAGACAACTTCTGGACTTGCAACTAAGATGTGGCAGTAATCCTGTATCAGCACCCCAAATTATGAGGTATCAGCATTACCTTTTGACCCAATTAAGACAACTGCATGTTAGGAGAGGTGCCATGAAGTCCAGGCTGCTGTGAACACTACACTGGAGCAAGGACTCACCCCGACCATGCTGTTCCTCAGTACTATTAAATACAGTCAGAACTGCCACGTAGAGGTACCTCACGTTCCACGCTAACTCAATAGGGTTCCAAACTTCAGGGCATTTTTAAGCTCTAAACACTATATCAGATAACTGCTGGTGTTGGAGAAATGTCACCAGGTACCAACACTATTAGATGCTGCAAACACCCTTTAAAAAGGAGAGAATAGGGGCGCCTGGCTGGCTCAGTCGGTAAGCATGCAACTCTTGACCTCAGAGTTGTGGGTTCGAACCCCACACCAGGTATGGAGGTTACTTTAAAATTGGAGTGCCTAGGTGGCTCAGTGGGTTAAGCCTCTGCCTTCGGTTCAGGTCATGATCTCAGGGTCCTGGGATCAAGTCCTGCATCGGGCTTTCTGCTTGGCGGGGAGCCTGCTTCCTCCTCTCTCTCTCTGCCTACTTGTGATCTCTGTCCAATAAATAAATAAAATCTTTAAAAATAAATAAATAAAAATAAAAGAGGCCTGAAGATCTTCATCTCTGGGAAAGTTAAAATGGGGACTACCCTGTGTCAGGGAAAGTACAAAAAGAAAACGGGTTAGTGGGGCACAGGGTAACTCACAATGCAGTACCCAGTGTGTTACAAAAGTTACACTTTAGGACTAGTCAGTTATTTTCTATAGGTATTTAGCTTCAACTTTACATTTAAGTCAATGGAAAAATTTCTCTTTACATGTCTTTAAAGGCATACGTTAAACTAATAAAATGAATATCCATATATACCTTCTATCTTTACTTACAAACCCAATGTGAGCTTAGAGAAGTTTAAGAAAACCCAATACAAATTTAAAGAAAAAAGATTAGAGCTTATAAAAACCATCCACTTATTTTCTCTCTCCATTCTGATCCCCTTCTGCCTTCTTTTTCATCAACGTTAAACATACTTGATGTCGCCCACCTGAAATGATCAGGAGGCAGTGAAGCTTTGAGACCTTGTACTCGATTACATATTGGAGCTCTTCTTACCTGACGTTCATTTTAGTTGCCGAGAGCACGGAACGCTTGGCAGAGCCCTTCCCACACAAGGTGCTCCTGCCCTTAGCGCCCAGTGGCCGGCCCTGCGAGTGGGGCTGGCTGGTGGGAGTGCAAGCCAAGGGGAGCCTTCCCTGGAGAGGAACTGGAGTCACCACTGCGCCCTTGGTGGCTGGCTGCTTCTGTAGAAAGATACCGCACCATGTTCAAGTTGGGCTTTTTAGCACCGCCTCTAGAGCAGCTTCATTCATCCCATTGTTCCATCCCCACTTTTTTTTTTAAAATTATTTATCTGACAGAGAGAGAGGGAGAGAGCAAGCACAAGCAGGGGGAATGGAATGGCAGGCAGGGGAGAAGCAGGCTCCCCCGCTCAGCAAGGAGCCCGATATGAGGCTCGATCCCAGGACTGGGGATCATGACCTGAACTGAAGGCAGTCGCTTAACCAACTGAACTACCCAGGGGCCCCTCTATCCCCACTTTTAACCCCACCTGTTATCTTTCCTTCTTCACCACCTCATCCTCTTCCTCCCTGCCAGGTGGGCAGGGCAGTTGCTTGTACCTGTATCGCTATGGCGACCAAATCAGAAATAACTTCTGGTTGTGCTGAGTCCTGTACTACAGAAGCCTTTCCCAGCTGCCATGAACCCAGGTATTTTCTGACTAAAGAATGTGACTTAAACGTGGTTTAAAAGTCCCCTGTGGCCAGAAAGGAAGGATAAATAGCTTCTCTTGGATATAGTATCTTTGAGAATGTGACAAGCAGTTTATTAAATACAAACTCAAAGAACCACCTATTATTAATTAACACAGAATCTACACATAATTTCACTCCTGTCCCCACAGCGCCCCCCCCATGGGTTCTTAAAGTTCTTCAAAACAAAAAAACAGAAACAAACAGAGGGAGGGAGGGAAACCCTCCCTTTGAAATGGCTGGGGAAGGTCCACCTAGGTTATCATTTTTTAGATATTATCAGAGCATAAAGAATAATGATGTCTATCACTGGTTTAAGCTCTTACAAGCAAAAGAAATACAACTTTGTGAAGGGACAACAGTGGTGGGACTACTATCGACGAGGTGAAGCCAAAGACAGAAAAATTCTGATGATATCCTAGGAAATACAAGCATCTGAGAGAATTAGGTCAACTTCTCAACATATAAGCAGAAGAGATTCTAATGTGACACAGAGTTAAAACTTACTAAAATACTTAGTAAACACACATCTATACCATAAGGCCAGAGCCCAGGTTAGCTATATTAAGCACATAGTTCTATTTAATCACACTTTTTATGCCGCCTTCTATCTTTCCCCCAAGATTCCCACTTTCCATGCTGCATTGCCTCACAGTTCACTTGGTGTCAGGACCATCAACTCTGCTTCTTTGTTCTGAACTACTTATAATGCAGGAATGAGTCTACTAGCCCTTACCCATCTGACTTTTTTCGGGTAGAATATTAAGCCATTGGTTCTAATAGTACTAACTCATTTTGTTAGCAAATATGTAACCAATTCCTCTTTCTTTTAGCAATAAAAACTGCGTTCAATCCTAACAAAGCAAAGAGGTCAATCATACCGTATTTGAAAAAAAAAAAAAGTGGGTTAAGGATTAAATATAGGGGAAAATAATAAAAGGAGTACAAACATAAGAACTTATTTTTATGATCTTGGCAGAGGCAGGGTGTGACACATAAAAAACGCAGACCCTTAAAAAGAACAGTTGGATAAATTTAAGAAAAAATCCTTCTCAAGATAAAAGATACCATTAATATAGTTAAAAGATAAACTGAAGGAAAGTATAATATAGAATATATAGCATTAATATAAATGGCTAACAGATGGGTAAAAATTAAGAAAACAAAAATTCACAAAAACATCCCAGCCAATTATATAAACATATGATCAAAGAAAGGTCAACTGGAATTTTTTCATATTACATTAATAAAGATTTTAAAAATTCATCATTCCCACTATTGGCAAGATAAACAGGCATCTTGGGGCACGAGGTTACTGATGCTTGAAGAGGGCCATCTGGCAACTAAATCAAATAGGTTTCCCTGCCTGAAGTGTAAAAATCAAGGAGAAACAGGTTGTGCCCAGGATGATTTTGTCTAGGATCTCTGCTTATTCGTTATTATCCAACACTGTCCAATGATCAATCCCAAAACATGTCAACTGTCAAGAAAAGCTTCCTATCAGCTACGGTGACATCACTATAATTATTTTCCAATTTCCAAATAGATCATACCAAATAACCCATCTGAGAGATCTATTCCTTACTGGGGAGTGGGGATGAGATTTTAGAACTAAACTCATTGGGCGGGGGGTAGCTGTAAAAAATAAGATGACCTACTCATTTATTAAACACATCTTCAGGGCTACACTCAAGTTTAGGGTTGAGACACCTGTTCTGCCCTAAATTTTGCCTGGAAAACTGACTAACCCATATTATGTAGTATAGAAAACTTGTTCAATCAAGTATTTTAGTAGACTCGGCTTCACGGAAGGTGAGGGAATGCCTGCTTGTAGGCGTATGTGCAGCTAGCTCGTTCTCATGCAAAAACAAAAACAAAAACAAAAAACAAAACTAGAGGTCTACTTCCTGTAAATCATCAGCAAAAGCCAGGTATTCAACTGTCAATGTAGTGATACCTAGCCCTTGCTAATATTTAAGCAAGTGTTATTGGGGCACACTGAGTATCTCTTTGCCGATTTCCACACCCCGCTGTTGGATCAGTAGGCAGCAATGGAGGCCTTCAAATGCCATGGCTTGGCTTTGTCCCTGTTAGCTGGTTGGGAAATGCTAGGTTAGCAGTGGTTTTATAAGAGCTCAAATGAATGTTACTCCTTTAGATTCAGCTTCTAGGGTGGCCTGCTTATCCCTCTCCTGCTCCCCGTGTTTGTGGTCCCTCTCTTACGGTCTCTCTCTGTCAAATAGATAAAATCTTTTTTTTTTTTTTTTAAGATTTTATTTATCTATTTGACAGACACAGATCACAAGTAGGCAGAGAGGCAGGCAGAGAGAGAGGGGGAAGCAGGCTCCCCACTGAGCAGAGAGCCCGATGCAGGGCTCGGACGCAGGGCTCGATCCCAGGACCCTGAGATCATGAACTGAGCTACAAGCAGAGGCTTAACCCACTGAGCCACCCAGGCACCCCGAAATAGAGAAAATCTTAAAAAAAAAAAAAAAAAAAAAAAAAAGTAGATTCAGCTTCTAAGAAGCTTATGGTTTTTTTTGTTTGTTTTTTTAATTATGTAGAACTTGTCACCTAGTGTGTTTCTGTGTTGGCATTTGTATCAGGAAACTGAAAACTCAACTAACTGATACAGCAGATACTGTCCCTGCTAACTGTGCTCATGTTCTGCCCCTTTCCAGTCAACTTTATACTGTTTTGTGTTGAAATACCAAAGACTGCCTCCAATTCCTCTTGAGAAATAAGCACATTGTAGGTATTAATGAAATTCTAAAATAGATGTTCCCCAGTCTTCTGTGTGGCTTCTCTTGACCACTGGAGACCACGTAAAAGAGTAACAGGATATTGTCAACTCACTGCTCTAAGTCAGCCTCAGGGCTGACTTCATCACCTTTTCTAACTCGAAGGGACCTTGAGTCCCCAGCACCTGGACTAAAGGGATCCCAAGAGCTCAGTTACTAGGGAGGCCATAAGTAAGCCACGGCAACTCAGTCCTTTTTCCTTTACGTGAGAGACAGGGAATGAAAATGCCTTCACCCGTAAATCAGCCCATCCTCAACAAAAGTAATAAGCACAATGTGTGAGTGCTGAAAACAGAACAACTTACTGGTGTTTTGGAATTAGTTCTTTATAGTGAGGACTCCTGGTTTTATTCTGAGAGTTCTGAAAATTCTTATGGTGGGGTAAGAAATTTCTGATAATAAAGATATATTAAACTCAAATCCATTCCACTGGTAGAACAATAAAAAGCCGGCTGTATTAGCTAAGGTATTGACATGAAAATCAAACAGTTTGGGGCACCTGGTGGCTCAGCCAGTTGAGCATCTGCCTTTGGCTCAGGTCACGATCCTGGGGTCTTGGGATCAAGTCCTGCATCGGGCTCCCTGCTCAGCGGGGAACCTGCTTCTCCCTCTGCCACTCCCCCTGCTTCTGCTTTCTTGTTCTCTCTCTCAAATAAATAAAAACTTTGACAAAAATAAAAACAAAGTCAAATAGTCCAGTCCCAATAAGAACATAATTTGGGGGGCACCTGGGTGGCACATTAACTGAGCATATGACTCTTGGTTTCGGCTTAAGTCATGATCTCCAAGTCCTGAGACCAGGCTCTGAGTTGGGCTCCATGCTCAGCGCTGAGTCCGCTTGGGATTCTCTTTCCCTCTCCTTCTACCCCTCCTGCTTGTGCTTGTTCTCTTTCTCAGATAAACAAATCTTAAAACAACTACAACAACAAAAAAAAACCCACGTAATTTTATCAGCATACCTTCAGTTCATGAAATGCATTGTGTTCTTCAAAATTTTTCTTTTTTCTCTCAATATATTGATCGATGGACTCCATTTCCTTAAAACGAGCCTCGTGAAGCTTCTTAAAGTCTAGAATGTTCCCCCAAATATAATAATTAATAACAAGACAAATCCATTTATTCACCTTTCCTTTGTCTTTCTGTTAACACTTATTCTCTTCTCTGCATCCCTGACATTCAACTTCAACATCATCTTTGCTAAAACTTTAATTTCAAATCTTTCAGTTTTTGTAAACTCAGGGACAAAGTATATTTATCTTATTAACTATTCAACGTATACTGCTCTCCTCTGTCCATTTCATTGTTAACTGACAACTTGGTTTAATCCACAGAACAAGAAAAGAGTAAGATTTTTCATCTCCCCTCAATCAAATGGCCTTTACTTAATCATAAGTATAACATTTTACAATGCTTAGAAAGCTTTATACCAAGGATTGGCAAACCTTTTCTGTTAAGGGTCAGACAGTAAATATTTTATTTAGTCTTTGTGGCCACATATGGTATGCTCTCTTTTTTTTTTTTTTTTAATACAATCTTTTAAAACTAAAAAACATTCTTAGCTTAAGGGTTTTAAGACAGGCCAGGGCTGGCAGCAATTAGCCTGTCCCTGCTCTGTGCTATTCTGATTAAGAATATTCTTGAGGGGCCTAGCTGGTCAGTCGGAGGAGTGCGTGACTCTTGATCTTGGGGTTGTGGGTTCAAGCCCATGTTGGATATAGAGATTAAACAAATAACAAATATAAAAAAAAATTAAAAATTAAAATTCTAACTATTAAGTATATATCTTTTTTAATATCTTTTTTAAAAAGATTTTATTTATTTATTTGACAGACAGAGACCACGAGTAGGCAGAGAGGCAGGCAGAGAGAGAGGGGGAAGCAGGCTCCCTGCTGAGCAACGAGCCTGATGCGGGGCTCGATCCCAGGACCCTGGGATCATGACCTGAACTGAAGGCAGAGGCTTAACTTACTGAGCCACCCAGGCGCCCCAAGTATATATATTTCTAATATGTGCTGAGCAGCATTCTAAGTACTATAAATACACAATACCTCAACATGCTATGTACCATGCAATAGATAACAAGCAATTACACTTTTAGATATGGAATCCCTTAAACTTATTACTGAAAAAAAATTTAGGGGTGCCTGATTGGCTCAGTCAATAGAGCATTTGACTCTTGATCTTGGGATCATGCATTCAAGCCCCATTTTGGAGGTAGAGATTACTTAAAAAATTTTAAGAAACATAATTACAAGGTGGACATTGTACAAAGTACCTTAGAGACATTCATTTGCAGAGATTTACTCACTACCTGCCATGTGCTAGGTGCTATGCTAGGTCATCAGAGGTAGAAAACTAGTCTCAATCTATATAGAAACATATCTTGTTTTACGGCACTTTGAGATACTGGATTTTTTGTTTCTTTTTACAAATTGAAGGTTTCTCACAACCTCTCAAGAGCCAGCTTTCTAATTGTACTGGCTCACTTCATGTCTCTGCATTACCTTTTGGTAATTACTGCAGAATTTTCAACTTTTTCATTATTGTTAAGTATTTGCTCTGGTGATCTGTGATCAGCGATCTTTGATTTTATTATTATAATTGTTTTGGGGCACTGCAAGCAGTGCCCCGATAAGACCACAAACTTAAATGTTGTGTGTTCGTTTGCTCCCACGGTGGCCTCGAGGTTTTCAGGTGAAATAGCCTCATTGCTGATACAGAGAAAGGCTGAGTGGCCTGGGTTAGAAGACCAAACCAGCCACAGCGCTCCCTTACACCAAATCCTAATCCAGAGCAAGTCCCTAATGCCCTTCCATTTTGTGAAGGCTGAGGAAGTTGGGGAAACTTCGGAAGAAAGGCTGGAAGCTAGCAGAGGTCAGTTCGTGAGGTTCATGTCTCTCCCAGGACATAGAAGTACAAAGTGAAGCAGCAAATGCCCACATAGGAGCTGCAGCACGTGAGCCAGGAGAGCTAGAGCGGTAATGGAGGCGGCGGCTGTATGAACACTAGAGTTTCAATGTAGCTGAGACAGCCTTCTATTTCCAGATGACATCTAGAACTTTCACAGCTACAGAGAAGTCAGTGTCTGGCTTCAACGGACAGGCTGACTCTTGAGAGGGGCTAATGCAGCTGGTGACTTGAAGTTGAAGCCAATGCTCATTTACCGTCTGACAATCCTAGTGCCCTTAAGAATTATATACCGCACCTACTTTGCCTGTGCTCTAGAAATCAAATAGCAAAGCTTGGAATGCACATGTTTACAACATAATTTACTGAATATTTTAAGTCCAATGTTGAGATCTACTGCTCAGAAAACAGATTACTTTCAAAATATGGCTGCTCGTTGACGATGCACCTGGTCACCCCAGGGCTCAGTGGGAGATGTAGGAAATTAATGTTGTTTTCATGCTAACACAGCATCCGTTCTGCAGCCATGAATCAAGGAGTCATTTAGACTTTCAAGTCCTATTTGAGAAATAGACTTTGGAAGCTATAGCTGCCATGGACAGTAATTCCTCTGATGGGCCTGGGCAAAAGTGAAAACCTTCTGGAAATGGTGTGCCCTTCTGGATGCCATTAAGAATATTTGTGATTCATGTCAAGAAACCAAGGGGCGCCTGGGTGGCTCAGTCAGTTAAGCGTCTGCCTTCGGCTTGGGTCGTGATCTCAGGTCCTGGGATAGAGCCCCACATTGGGCTCTCTGCTCAGCAGGGAGTCTGCTTCCCCCTGTCTCTCTCTGCCTACTTGTGATCTCTGCCTGTCAAATAAATAAATAAAATCTTAAAAAAAAAAAGAGAGAGAAAAGAAAAGAAAAGAAACCAAAATATCAGCACAAATAGAAGTTTGGAAGGAGCTGATTCCAGCCTTCAAGGATGACTTTGAGGAGCTCAAGACTTCAGTGGAGGAAGTAACTACAGATGTGGTGGGAATAGCGAGAGAACTAGAACGAGAAGTGGAGCCTAAAGATGTGATTGACTTGGTGCCATCTCATGATACAACTCATGGATGAGGAGTTGCCTCTTACAGATGGGCAAAGACAGTGGTTTCTTGCGATGGAATCTACTCCTGGCGAAGACACTGCGAAGACTGTTGAAATGACAACAAAGGGTTTAGAATATTCTAGAATATTTAGAATATTTAGAATAAATTCAGTTGATAAAGCAGCAGCAGGGTTTGAGAAGACGGACTCCAGTTTTGGATGAAGTTCTACTGGGAGTAAAATACTATCAACAGTACTGCACTCTATAGAGAAATCATTTGTTAAAGGAAGTCAGTGGTTGGGGCAAACTTCACTGTGGCCTTGTTCTTAGAAACTGCTGCAGCCCCCCCGACCTTCAGCAACCACCATCCATCTCTCTCGTTCAGAGCCATCCACACTGAGACAAGACCCTTGGCCAGCAAAAAAGATGACAACTTTGCTGCAAGTTTACATGATGGCTAGCATTCTTTAGCAATGAATTAATTAAAATACGTGCATTGTTCTTTGAGACGTAACACTTATCACACACTTAACAAACTATAGTACAGCATAAACAGAACTTTTCCATCCCGAGGACACAAACCCGTTGAATTCGCTTTACTGCAGTCACGGCTTTAGGCGGGGATCTAGAACTGGAGGGCCAACTTCATCGACCTGACAAAATAGGTAGTATATGCACTCCCACTGGAAAGTGAGGAAGTGGGTTTTCCGAGGCTAAGAGGCCCCTGGTCTCAGAGCTAGAAAATGAGAGAAGATGGATGGCAGGCCCAATTCCAGCATTCAGGCCTTCAGCTGTCCCTGCACACTGCGTATTCGGCGTTAGCCCAAAGGCGCCAACTATTACTTTGTTTCTGTGTGTGTAAAACTTACTTGGAGTTGTGCTTATAGTTCTTTTGCCTTTTCCAGGTTTGGAAAACCCATCTGTGTAGAGAGACTTCTTTCCTTCTGAAGGTACCTTCGAATCTTCATTACCTAAATCGAAAGAAACAGAACTAAGCAAAGATCTCGAAACAAGTTTTTCCTATTAAGAAACGTCTAGAAGCTGGGGGCGTCTGGCTGGCTCAGTCAGAGTGTACGAGTCTTGATCTCAGGGTTGTAATTTCAGCTCCCATGCTGGGTGTAGAGATCACTAAAATAAATAAAGCTTAAAAGAAAAAAAAAAGGTCTCGGGATGCCTGGGTGGCTCAGTGGGTTAAAGCCTCTGCCTTTGGCTCGGGTCATGGTCCCAGGGTCCTGGGATCAAGCCCCACATTGGGCTCTCTGCTCAGCAGGGAGCCTGCTTCCTCCTCTCTCTCTGCCTCCTTCTCTGCTTACTTGTGATCTCTGTCAAATAAATAAAATCTTAAAAAAAAAAAAGTGTCTAGAAGTTAACATGGCACTTTCATGTGATGGGGTGTGCTAAGATGGTGGGGAAAATGAGCACAAAGAAGTAGTTGTAGCATCACTACAATTTTAGCTCATACACTTCAAGTAGGAAGAAATTTTATGCTTCCTTGTATAGAAGTTATGTAAATAGATCAGAAATTTAATGGGCGCCTGGGTGGCTCAGTGGGTTGAGCATCTGCCTTCAACTCTGGTTATGATCCCAGGGTCCTGGGATTGAGGCTTGATTGGCCTCCCTGCTCAGTGCTGAGTCTGCTTCTCTCTCTGCTCATGCTCTCTCTCAAATAATTAATTAATTAATAATGTAAGAAAACTTTTTCAAAACTTTGGCTATGAACAGATTATTGTAACTCGAACAGTAAAAATCCCACAATCCTAGGATGGCTGGCTGGTTCAGTTGGTAGAGTGTGTGACTCTTGATCTCAGCGTTTTAAGTTTAATCACCAAATTAGACAAATAGGCGTAGAGATTTCTTAAAAATCAAATCTTAAAAACACACCGACACACACCCCCACACAATCCCACCAACCTAAGAAACATCCTTATCTATGAGCATTTCGGCCTATTTCCTCAGGTCCTCCTCCTCCCTACTAGTTTTTATTCTTTAAATCCTGTTGAAATCAGGATGTATGTATTGGCCATTTTCCCTTCACTTATGACCACATTCTGTTATCTTTTCCAACTTGAGGCAATCTACTTAAAAATATCCAAATGGATTTTCAAGAACTACTACGTATAATCACGTCCCTCAGACGGGAGGTTTCCCAGTGCGTCCGTAAGACATCAAAGAGCACCGGGGTAGGGCAGGAGGACGTGCAGAGGCTTCTGCTTGGAGCTGGCCTCTAAAACCAGAAAGGTAACGTTCCATGCACAACAGGATATTTATGGAGTCAGAGTCACTCCTCGCCAGATACTACAAATGGGGAAAAAAAAAAAAAGCCACTTCACAAAGGGGCAACTTCTTAAGGTCATCACAAGCCACCACCTGTGCCTTCTGGGAGCAGTGACTAAGGATTACTCTGTGGGATCCTGCTGCACGTCCAGGATCTAAATCTTTTTTTTTTTTTCTCCAGCATCTAAATCTAACCCTCAGCACTACTAGACAAACCAAGGCCAAGGACCCAACAAAACTGGCCTGTATTAAAAAATGTAAACATCCAAAATAAACAAAAATCCTCAAAGACGAAGGAACATCTGAAGATGTTCTAGATTAAAGTAGACTAAAGAGATAGGACACTGAATTCCCAGAACCAAGATTTTCCTTGCTTTAATGGGCATGACTAGAATAACTCATGAAACCTAAATGACGTCATCTCTAGAACAGCGTAGCAATTCTTGCACTTCTAGTCTCAGGATCGTGTTAGACTCTTAGAAATTATGAAGGACTCCCCCTATTTTTGTTTACATTCTATCAGTATGTGCCAGTAGACATTACAATTAAAACATTAAAGAATTTGATACACTAAAAAATGTACTTGTTATAGGTTAACAAAAACACGAAAAATGGCTAAAATTTCTAAGACAAAAATAGCGAGAAGGTGGTATATTTTCACCATTTACCAAATGTCTGACTTAAAGACAGCTGGATTCTCTTATCTGCCTTTGCATACACTATATTATGATGTATTTTTTTGTTTGAAGTACATATGAAAACAAATCTTGCCACAAACAGGTGTTTGAAAGGGGAGAGTATTGTAATATTAAGCCTTTTCAGAGAACAGTGAATAGTCTTTTCTGATACAATGCTAAGTACCACTTGACAAACAGTTTCTCCCCCCCACCCAAAGATTTTATTTATTTGACAGAGAGATCACAAGCAGGTAGAGAGGCAGGCAGAGAGAGAGGGGGAAGCAGGCTCCCCACTGAGCAGAGAGCCCGATGTGGGCCTCAATCCCAGGACCGAGAGATCATGACCCAAGCCGAAGGCAGAGTTTCAACCCACTGAGCCACCCAGGCGTCCAACAACAGTAGTTTCTTTTTTTTTTTTTTTAAGATTTTATTTATTTATTTGACAGACAGAGATCACAAGTAGGCAGAGAGGCAGGCAGAGAAAGAGGAGGAAGCAGGCTCCCTGCTGAGCAGAGAGCCCGCCTGATGCGGGGCTCGATCCCAGGACCCTGGGATCATGACCTGAGCTGAAGGCAGAGGCTTTAACCCACTGAGCCACCCAGGCGCCCCACAACAGTAGTTTCTTAAAGGTTAATTGCATACGTGGAATATGAACCCCTTCCAATGAGCTTTTTGTACTCCATACACTTGTACGAGAAAATCCTGTGTTTGTTTTATTAAGCTCTAAGCCCAACGTGGGACTCGAACTCACAACGCTGAGATCAAGAGCTGCATGTTCTACCAACTCAGCCAGCCAGGCAGGTGCCCCTAAAGCCTAAAGGAACACTTTTCTGCATCTGACTCTCAGGGAACAAAATGTAGACAATACCTACATGGATGCATATGTGTATAGAAATATAAATAGAGAAGGACCAAAGGAAATGCTGCAAAATGTTAACATTTTGGAGATCAAGAACATAGCAACACTTGGTACTGTTCTGAAATTATGTCAAAATAAAAAGTCAAAAAAAAAAAAAAAAAAAAAAAAGTTCTTACCAGAAACTATGTGATCCGATTTTTGTTCTCCCTATAGCATGTGTTTCATTAGGGGAACTTAATGTGTCCCCCCGTTTCTCCATGCTCTTGAAACCAGGTCCTGCAGCTAAATTTCCCTGACAAAAAGATGGGGTGGATGCTGGTAATTCCACCCCCACTTCTGACTCTTGGTCACATTTCTTTGTATCTTGCTCTAAATCATGATTTTAAACTGGGCTTAGGAGGCATATGCATCTTAATTCCTCAGGGTGTTGATTAAAAAATTGCAGGCTTGGGGCTCCTGGGTGGCTCAGTGGTTTAAGCCTCTGCCTTCGGCTCAGGTCATGATCCCAGGGTTCTGGGATTGAGCCCCGCATCGGGCTCTCTGCTCAGGAGGGAGCGTGCTTCTTCCTCTCTGCCTGCCTCTCTGCCTATTGTGATCTCTGTCAAATAAATAAATAAATAAAATCTTAAAAAAAAAAAAAAAATTGCAGGCTCCCAGTCTCCATCAGAATCAGCAGCTCTACTTCCAGGAACTGTCAACATTTAGTAAGACAGTCCAAATTCTGGGGAAGGAGGAACGGGTCAGCATTAGAAATTCTGTACATCACTGCATGGAGGGCATGGGAGTGGGTCGCCTTCTCTCTCCCCCTCCATCAGGCCCTGCCCTGCGGCGCAGACAAGGCTGCTGCGGGGAAGCGAACACGAGACACCACGCAGTGGGCAGGTTTCCCGGGCAAGGAACTCATGAAGCCCCCGGTCCTGTTGGGTCTGGGGGAACTCAAGGTTTCTGGTCTCCTTGAAACAAACTTTTAGTTGACAGTTTGGGGAAGAGGTTTTTAGAAAGTTAGAAACTAAGGAAAGTATACATTTACCAAAATAAAAGTACCCCCACCACCCACTAAAGGGAGACTCTGCGGTTCCCCTTCAGGAGTCATGGGGTAGCAGGCACGCACGCAGCTCCGTGCACTGGTGTCTGGAGCAGGCCTGAAGGAGCTGGTGGGGAGGAGGAGAGCCCACATTTTATCTGCATAGATATCAACTTGCCTAAACTGTCCAGCTACCACTATTACCCTGGTTTTTCCACAACAGTACTGAAGAGGACCTGATGGTTGACTATGTTTAGTTTTCACTTCAGCTGTCACTGTAGAACACTTAGTTTTACAGCATGGTGTTCTGGTTTGAATTGTGTTCTTCAGAATGGTATGTGCAAGTCTTAACCTTTAGTGACCTTGACAGGACCGGAGGACAAAGCGTCTGGTTTGGGGTACTTTTTTAGGTCAGTCCTAGGAAATGAATGCACAGGGATACCCCTGGAATCTCAGGCTTTCGGTTTGGTTTTCCTTATTTGGCATACCATTTCTTCTTCTTTTTCCTGAGGAAACGGCATTCTCCTCTCCTTGGCTCTCATCTGGTGGTGAAGGCACTTCTGCAACTGTTCTGAGATCCTGGTGTTCCTGCTTCTCTTGATTCTGGAATTCAGTGTGATCACTTACTTTTATCTCTGAATGATCCTGCCACAAATATTAAAAGGGAAGAAAGGATTTAAATGATGAAAAGTCACCATTGCCTTCCAAAGATCGGCACCCACATTGGAAAGGGGCTAAAGGAAGAAAAGTAGGAGAGAATTAGATTTCTGAGTGGCAGAGCTGGGAAGAGGACCTACTAGGGCCCACTGAAAAGCTTAAATAGCAAGATAAGCTCTTCTAGGGGTAAATGGATAGTCTAATGGCTGAGGGACTCTATGGGGCTAGAAAATAAAAATTAGGACTATGTCCTATAAAGTTACATTTGAATGAGAGAATAAAAAGTAAAATCAGAGTCTTCTCCAAGTAACTGAGGGAAGGCTCTGGCTAATCCCAGGACCATTCTACTGAATCACCAAAAGAAGAGTGATCACTAGGTCTGAGGCCAGTTGGAAAAAAAAAAAAAAAGAATCCTACTAATGTTGGTTTCTCTTTCCTTCTTACCAGCCCTCACTTAGGGGAGCACTTCCCTCACTTTCATATTTCCTAAACCCATATTGAATTTGTGCTTACTCCTCAGTGAGTACTTCCCACGTGCCATCACCCAGGGTGTGACGACCCGTCTAGACTTGGGTCTATGCTTTCACGGAGCTCACAGCACAGAGTTTACGACTGTTTGGTATCATAAGGAAATTCAAAGAGAAAGTTTCCCAAGAATATACCAATTTTGGCACAGGTGGTGGTCAGAATTTGCACACGTCCATTCACCTGAGTGTCAGGGTTCCTGAGGACTGTCCTGTACCTTCTCCTGGTTTTGGTGCCATGACCAAGCGGCTCCATCTCAGTTTGTTCCTGGCCATGGCTCTGCAGCTCAGCCTCCTCACAGGACGATGCAGAGGTCTGACTTCCATCGTGGAAAGAAAGACATTCATCTGCCACATCCTATTTTTAGAGTTACAGTGTTCAGGAAAAGTCAGAATTTAAACTGAATAGAAAACATATTTTCAAAAGTTAATTTTAAAACGCTCTTGTACTAAAGTATAGGCCAGAACACGAATTTGAGAGCCTTTGGAAAGAAACAATCAGGGATCCCCAGGTGGCTCAGTAGGTTAGGCGTTGGCCTTCAGCTGAGGTCATGATCCCAGGGTCCTGAGATCGAGTCCTGCGTTGGGCTCCCTGCTCAGTGGAGAGCCTGCTTCTCCTTCTGCCTGCCGCTCTCCCTGCTTGTGCTCTTTCTCTCTGACAAATAAAGTTTTGTTTTTTTTTTTTTAAGATTTTATTTATTTGACAGAGAGAGACAACAAGAGAGGGAACACAAGCGGGGGAGTGGGAGAGGGAGAAGCAGGCTTCCCGCTGAGCAGGGAGCCCGATGCAGGACTTGATCCCGGGATCCCTGGATCATGACCCGAGCCAAAGGCAAACACTTAATGACTGAGCCACCCAGGTGCCCCAAAAAATAAAATCTTAAAAAGAAAAAAACGATCACACTTAATAACCCCAGCTTAAAAACTAGGCTAGGAAAGAATTCAAAGTTTTCTTAATATGACTAAGTAAGCAAATTAGTATTAATTTTCTTTTGAATATACACAAAGCAGAGTACTAGGCAGTATGTTCCAATAATTACAGCTAATATCACAACTTCATTGGGATATTTACATGGGTTATCTTACTTATTCCTCAAAGCCTATAAGATATGCACTAACATTATCCCCAGTTCACAGAGAGGCAAACTGAGGCTTAGAGAGTCTAAAGTAACTTGTCCAAGGCCAGAATAAGAAAGGAAGGTAAGAATGACACCTGTACTAACAGAAACTAAAAGAGCTCCATTATTAGAACAGAGTGGTACAAGGATCAGATTATCCCAAATAGACTTGCTTATGTAAGAACACATTGTTTGATAATAGTTACACTTTATAATAATGGGGGGGGGGAGAGACTAGATTCATGATTCAATGCATGATGCAGAGAAAATTAACTCTGCTTATCTTTTTGGTGGGGAGGGAAATGAAACTTGATTGTTTTTTCACACACAAATGCAATCTGGATGGGTCAAAGTTTTTTTTTGTTTTTTTTTTTTAAAGATTTTATTTATTCACTTCAGATACAGAAAGATCATGAGCAGGAGGAGAGGCAGAGGCAGAGGCAGAGGGAGAAGCAGGCTCCTCGCCAAGCAGGGAGCCCAATGTGGGGCTCGATCCCAGGAACCAGAGATCATGACTTGGGCCGAAGGCAGATGCTTAACCAACTGATTGAGCCACCCAGACACCCCTGGGTAAAAGATTTAAATGTAAAAATGAAACTATGGAAGCACTAGGAAAAAAAGTAAGTGAGAAATGATCATGAGTATGAGGAAGGCCTGTCTTCAGCAGAAGACAGGAGAAGACAGCAGAAGGCCTGTCTTCTTACCTACACAGTATAAAGGAGAGGTTGGATTTGCTTCTGGTGTTTTTGTTTTTACACTAAATTCTAATCAGGAGCTGATCTGAAATACACCTGTGGCTAAAAAAAATAAAGAAGTACTGAAGAGATTCTAATGGAAAGCAGTTGCTTCTCCACCCCAGCCCTTCCATTTCTAGGGCTTCCTTCACTTTAGGTGGTCACTTACAGATCACATGGGGTTTGCCGGGGTGGGGGGGTGCCTATGCATTTGTGGCTGCAGCAGCTGTTTTCAGTGCCTATCATGGGCTATAGTTTAGCTCACTGGTCCCACGCTCCTCTCCCATCTTCCTCCCAAGAGCAATGTACTCCTTCACTCTCTTACCTTTGCTCCCCTAAGGACTCTGAAACCTTTACATCTTGTCCCACACCTACACAAAGCCTCCTGTAAAATCTAAGTACAGAATCCTTATACTTCCCTTCACCTCGTCTTCCTTTTTTGCTCAATGTCATCTATTCTCTAACTTGTTAACATTTATAGCTTGTTATGTAACCTTAATTGAATCATCTGTGCCGTGTCTGTGTAGTTTGATTCTAGTTGATAAATCATTTAGTTCTTGAAAGGCTTTTTTTCTTAGAGCTTTTTGTTTGTTTTCTGGGTCATCTGGGTCTCCATTAGGGTCCTCGTTTTATTTATCTTCAGCTCTCTCCCACTGCAGCCTTCCCCTCAAATGTCTGGTGACTGTTGGCTGTCTATCCTATTTCAAAAAAACAAGGCAGACCTCATCAGAGGCTTGGATGTGTGGCAGGGCCTTATCTGGCAGGACCTGATCCACTAGGGTCCTTACTCGAGAAGGAGGCTGTTATGCAAGGGAACCACTGAATGCCAGAAGACAGAAGCCGGAGCTTGATGCCATCAAATTTCCTTGCAGAGAAGACTTCCAATATTCTACCTGGTCCCGACACCTGGTGCTGTGTGTGTGGCAGGGGTGGGTAGAGTGCTTTGTATCCTATTTTTACTCCACTGCACCGGGCTGCCTGGACCCCACCCTCTGAGAGCTGACTGAGCAGGCCTGGAGTATGAGGAGTGCTAACTACCACTATTTGTAAAAATCTCCTCAAATGACTCACCCATATATCCTGTAATAAGATCCACAATATAAAATAAATGTGGAAGTCCAAGAATAAGGAGGCTTAGAAAGCAGAACGGCAGATTTTAGACAGAGGTAAAATACTGCAAAAGTGACACAGTTGCAAGTGATGCAAGGTCTAGGATGAAGAATGGCAAGGAAAGGTACAGGAGCTAAGGAATGAGAAGAGTGGGGTACAGCACACCGAGCTGCACCTGTGAATTCATTGCAAGTGACAGGTGAAAACATCAGTTCAAAGGCGGGGATACAGGAGAGGAGAAAGATGCTATCTGGATCCTGCTTCCCAACTCCCTGGAGAGGCATGGTGAAGAAAAAGAAGCTGCTTCCACTATACAAGTGACACCCTCAGGTTACTCGTACCGTTGGACTACAGGGACACTTTTAAAGTGCTTATTTAGCCCTCCCGCAGGGACTCCCTATTAGAAGAAGTCAGAACTGTCCTGTTTAGATGTCTGTTGGCACAGTCCTGAACATCGCTGGTTTTAATCCCATGCACCTTAAACACAGGCTAGTCTGGGAGGCAGACAGTGATCAGGGAGGTGTTCATTCCCAATGCACCGTGATGCACCTGTAACAGATTTGCCTAACTCCGAGACCGACGGAGGACCCGTGGTTCAGACAAGGCAGTCCTTGGAACACAGCCAAGCGAACCCACATACCAAGCTGCTCCAACTTCTACAGTTAAGGCTGACCCGAAGTACAAGAATAAGTCTTCTGTAAGGTGTGATGTCCCACTCACTCAGATAGGATCAACACCTGTGCATCCCCTACGGGAGGATTTTGGGGGGGGGGGGGTCTGGAAGTTTACACATCTGTCATTGGTAGCATCAGTGATCTCTTTGCTGTGCACTTGGGCTGTGTTGACTCCCCCTGCAACTTTAGAAAAACCAACTCTTTTGTATCAGGTCTTCCCATCTAAGCTCACTATTGAGGGGAACTTGGGTGGCTCAGTTGTTTGAGCGGCCGGCTCTTGAATTCAGCCCAGGTCACAATCTCGGGGCCCTGGGACTGAGTGCTGCTTATTGGGGAATCTGCTTAAGGATTCTCTTTCCCGATCTCTAACTCACCCCCTGCACACGCTTATGCACATGTTTCTCCCAAAAAAAAAAAAAAAAAAAAGGCTTAAAGGTTTAAGATTTTATTTGTGAGGGAGACCGCATGAGCGAGAGGGCACAAGCCAGGGGTGGGGAATACAGAAGGAGAGGGAGAAGCAGACTCCCCACTGAAAGGGAAGGCTGATGTGGGGCTCGATTGCAGGACCGTGGGATCATGATCCCAGCCGAAGGCAGACGCTTAACTGGCTGAGCCACCCAGGTGCCTTAAGCTTACTATTTTGATTCAACACTTAGGAATTCTTTACCTAACTGAATTTGGACTATCATCATGCTTTTGTGAATTTTTTTCAAAACGGAATGGCCCCTGAGATGTTAAATTTGAAATATGATAGATAAGGGATGATTTTACTCTATTAACTACTAATTAACTATTAATTACTCTATTAACTACCATCCAAACTAAAGTCTTGATTTCCAATGGTACTAATCACTTTTTTTTTTTTTTTAAATTCATTTGAGAGAGATACAGAGAGCACAAGCAGGGGGGAGAGGCAGAAGCAGACTCCCGCTGAGCAGTGAACCTGACATGAGGCTCGATCCTAGGACCTGCAGATCATGACCTGAGCTGAAGATAGACGCTTAACCATCTGAGCCACCCAGGCGCTCCTTAATTATGTTTTATTCATTCATTCATTCATTCATTTATTTATTTGACAGATGGAGATCACAATAGGCAGAGAGGCAGGCAGAGAAAGAGAGGAGGAAGCAGGCTCCCTGCTGAGCAGAGAGCCCGACGCAGGGCTCAATCCCAGGACCCCGTGATCATGACCTGAGCCGAAGGCAGAGGCTTTAACCCACTGAGCCACTCAGGTGCCTCTTAATCATGTATTCTTAATCATTAAGAGAGTTATATATAAAAAGAGGGATGGAGATTTAGTTGATGTAAAATCTTAAAGCTAGAATTCAAAATTGATCCTTTTTTGTTATCTATTTTAAGTTAATTAAACCTGGAATCACAAGAATTTTGCTGTACATTTTTAATTTTTACTTATGTTTATGTTTTTTTTTTGTTTTTAAAAAGATTTTTTTTATTTATTTGACAGATAGATCACAAGTAGGCAGAGAGGCAGGCAGAGAGAGACAGGAGGAGGAGGCAGGCTACCCGCTGAGCAGAGAGGCCGATGCGGGACTCGATCCCAGGACCCTGAGATCATGACCCGAGCTGAAGGCAGAGGCTTTAACCACTGAGCCACCCAGGTGCCCCACTTATGTTTATGTTTTAAGTAGTCTCCACACCCAGCATGAAGCCCAGTGCAGGGCTCGGAAACATGACCCTGGAATGAAGACCTGAGCTGAGATCAAGAGCTGGATTCTCAACTGACTGAGCCACTCAGGCACCCCGAAAGAATTTTGAGTATTAGCAGTTTTAAATATTTATAACTTGGAATATAAAGATGATAAAGACAGGGAGAGTTAGTAGCTAGGATTCTCAATTCATATTTACATTTATCTCCATTTCCAGATAGATAATGAATGCTCTTCAAAGCACAAGGCCTTAAGGCCTTTCTGGATTTTCCTCTCTTTCAAGTTTAGAATCCTCACCCTAACGCAGCATCTGTGGACTAGGTCAGGCCCTGTCAAAACCTTTGGTCTGAAGCAGCCATGACGGCCCCTCTCCCACCACTCTGGTTTCCGGAGCACCACAGACCACTCTCACAGGCCCTACTTCATTTCATTTTCGTAACATTCAATTCAGTAGAGCAGGTACCGTCTCCATTGTAAAGAATAGGAAACTAGGAATAAAGGCACTTCAGTTTTCCAAGATCACATAAAAAGAAATGACAGAACTGCTACTTAACGTGGATTTTTTGGGCTTCAAATCCTGTTCCTTCCTTGCTCATACCAAGCTAGCTCTGGTAAGGTTTGGCAACTAGTAATTCATAACCCTTGCATTTTTATGAGAACATCTTATTCAGCAGGTTACTCACTACTGGGCATGTTTTTTTTATAGCAAATAGTTATTATCAAAGGATTTATTATTACTTAAAATGATCTCTTTGGGGATAAATAGCATGTCATCACTGGTTGTGTTTACTGCTCATTAATTAAATATAATGGTCTTAGTATTTAATAGGTGGTAAAAAATATATTACTTACCTGATTCTCATTTTCTTTTTTTGCCTCATGTTTAAGGTGGGCTTTCAAGGCTTTTAGCAACTTGTCTGCCTGCAGGAGAGTTCAAGACTTTATCAGTAGGGCCAAAAAAAAGTAAGCAAAAAAGATAGGTTATTAACTTTCCCGTTTTTGAGGATAATTATTCTCCTGTTCTAGTATTCCTCAAATGTCCTCTGGGCAGGCTCCGCAGAAGAATGGGGAAGTGAGACAGGTTAAGAGGCAATGACAACAGATACCCTGGGCTAAGCGCCAACATAAGGATACCCGCGCTGTTGTACACGAGACAGCTGGGCTCGGCCAAGGTCTAGACAGCCGGGATAAACTTGAGCAGGTAACTGGACACACTAGTTCTAAGATGAAGACATGATGTTTGCAGCTGCTGAGGTCTAAAGGATAAACGGGGCAGAGGTGGCCACAGGGAAGGGGTAAATTGCCTGGGAAGGAAAGAAGGAGGGTGGAGTTTGGGGAACTCAAGTTCACTATGGCTAGAGCATGGAGCTGCTCAGGGAAGGGGAGGGAAGACAATGGAGAACGTGGGCTGGGGCCGATCCTGCCAGGCCTTGTAAGCCTGTTAAGCGTAGGAGCTTTACCTGCCAAGGGCAGCGTTGGAAGAGTCTAGCAGTGCCAGAAAGTGACCAGTTCTGCATTACTCAGAATGATCACTCCAGCAGGACCACGTGCAGGATGCACTGGATGGCAGAAAGGCAGAAGCCAGCAAAACAGCTGGGAGGCCAGGAGAGGAAACCAGGAAGGACTATGGCCTGAGCTAGAGCAGGACTAAGGCAATAGGGACAGATTCAAAACCTTTTTAGGAAGTAAAGTCAGTATGAAGACAGGGGTTGAGGAACAGTGAAACTGTATTACACCCAGCTCTTGGCTTGGGCAGCTGATGTAACATGGTGGGGATCTCTCAGACCAGGAATTCCAAACACAGGCAGTTTTGAGGTGGGTGTGTGGTGGGAGGATGGTTCCAGGTCCCTGGGGGAAGGGACTCCTAGTTTCTCTTCTCACCCTGAGAAACCCTTCCTTCCTGAGAAATACTAATCTGATTGGGTTGTTTTTTCCTCTTCTTCCACTCAGGAAGCTGAGAACCAGGTATTTCCTTCTCAGTGTAGGCCCTGCCACCACAGCTAATACCATTTATCTTTGACCAGGTGGCTAGGAGAGAACGGCAGGGATCCGGATTTAGTTTGGGGCGTTAGGAGAGGCTGTGCAGCCCATCCCCCAGCCGGTTTACCAGTATGCTCTGCGTCAAGGTCTCAGGCACCACACCAGCTAGTAATAAAGTGGTTTTTATTTTCTACTGCTGTTGCTCCTTGAATGTCTCTTGGGGCCTTCTCCGTGAAGGGGGTCATTGCTAGGGCAGAATTCAGGCACTCTTGGTTCTTCATTTTTTCCACCAACCACTTCACTGAGGTATGATCGACCTACAAACAGCTACAGACATCTAATATACACAATGACATGTGTTTGGTGATAAATATATACCCGTGAAACCATTACCACTGTCATAATCTTCTCTGTCACCAACAGTTTCCTACCACCCCTTCTGTGTTTTGTCTTTTGTTTGTTTGGTTGGTTTTAAGAACCCTTCACGTAAGACGATAGCACATTTTTAAGTAGACCATACAGTAATGTTAATCATAGGCTCTATATTGTACAGGTTTCCAGACTTAAAATACCACAAAAACCTCATCAGACACATGACAATGATGAAAGGTGCCCGTGGCAGAGCCAGGTGAGCGCATTTATCAGGTTCAATGCTCTGGGTGAGGCTCATGAGGGCCAAGCAGGAGGTACAGGTGTTAGGATCAGCAGGTCAACAAGCACTGATCACACTGCACATGGTTCCAGGCACAGGAGAGACAGTGATGAGCCAAAAACACAAGGTCTCCACTCTCTAGGAACCTCCCGTGGTGGGCTGGTCTATTAACGAAGCTCAAAAAATGATAGGATATCAGGGGCTACCAGAAAATTAACCTGGGGACTGGAGGAGGGTGCTCCCTGAGGTAGGAGGGTCAGGAAAGGCCTCTCAGAGGTGGTGACTTTTCAATGGAGATGTGAACACGAAGAAGCAGCAGGCCAAGATGTGGGAAAGCGCATTCCAAGTAGAGGGTGCACCAAGGCCTGAGGTGGGCTGGTGAACTATAAGGACAGAAGGAAGCCAGTGCGTGGAGCATGGTGATGGATGCTGCGGGCTTCCTGCTCAGTGGGGATCTGATTCTCCCTCGCCCTCTGCCTCTCTCCCCTGTTCATGCTGTTTCAAATTAAAACAAAAACCTTTTAAAAAAATGTCAAGTCCATAGGAAAGTTAAAATAGTATAATAAACAATTTTATCCTCCCCACCTAGATTCAGCAATCATTAACACAGTCTCATAGTAGCTCTATAGTAACGTATTTCTTGCCAACTTACCTGAAAATAAGTTCCAGCCAACACGATACTTTCCCACTAAATACATCAGCCTCATCTCCCAAAAACAAGGGTTGTTTTCTTACATAACCTCTAATAAGTTATACCTAGGAAATATATTAATTTCCTAAAATCCTCTGAAATGTAGCCCTCAAATCTCCTCAATTGCCTCAATTTTTAGCTGTTTTCTTTTTTTAAAAAATTCCCCTTCAAATCAGGATCAAACCCAGTTTCTCACATTACATTTGTAGGAGTCTGGATTTTATTTTAGGTGTGAGGCAAGTCAATGGCGGGGGCACTGAGCAGAAATAGTGGCGTGTTCAACGTTTCAAATATTGCCTTGATTACAAGAGAATAACTACCCGGAGGCAAGAATAGAGGCAGGAGAGCCGCAGACAGGCTGTGGCCTAGGTCTGCAGCACTGGTGATGGTAAGCAGAGGTCAGACTTCAGGAGTGAAAAGTGGTGAAAGTGGTTTAAGCAAATAAGGAAGATTCAAACCTACCAAATAGCAGGGTTGGACAGAGATGTATCACAAGCTTTGGAAGATGCAGAGCCTTGTGGCCTTGTTAAGAGCCGTTTCAGTGGAAAAGAACAGAGAAATTGAGCAGAAGATTAAGGACAAGTGGTCAGGAGAGGTTTTTGGTTTTTTAAGATGGGGACTTTTTTTTTTTTTTTTAAAGATTTTATTTATTTGGGGCGCCTGGGTGGCTCAGTGGGTTAAAGCCTCTGCCTTCAGCTCAGGTCATGATCCCAGAGTCCTGGGATCGAGCCCCGCATCGGGCTCCCTGCTCGGCGGGGAGCCTGCTTCCTCCTCTCTCTCTGCCTGCCTTTCTGCCTACTTGTGATCTCTGTCTGTCAAATAAATAAACAAAATCTTTAAAAAAAATTTTTTTTATTTATTTGACAAATACAGATCACAAGTAGGCAGAGAGGCAGGCAGAGAGAGAGGAGGGGGCTGGCTCCCCGCTGAGCAGAGAGCCCCATGGGGGGCTCGATCCCAGGACCCTAGAATCATGACCCAAGCCGAAGGCAGAGGCTTTAACCCACTGAGCCACCCAGGCACCCCTAAGATGGGGACTATTAAGACTTGATAGCATCCTTTAGGGAAATGAGCCCGCTGAGCAGGAGAAATTGATGTAGGGGAGGAGCTAAGTGCAGGTGCGCAAGCCCCAGAGGTGGGAACAAGGATCCCTGGCACAAATGGCTAGACTGCCCTTAGAAGAACATAAAATACAATGGGACAGCTGGGGGATGGCCTGAGGGTTTGATGGTGGAAAGATGAGGAAACTCTCTGCTGACTCCATCTATTTTTCCAATGACCTATGAGGAAAAGTCATCAAGTGAGGGAAGGGAGCCAATGTGAGAAGACAGCACTTAATTGTCCTCAAAAATGGGAAAGTTAATGACTACCAAGGAAGCATATGGGGATCAAATGCTCATTTTATGATTTATGGTCATAAATATAAGTTTAAATATAAGTTCAGTCAACAAGCTTAGGTGATTTTCTCCAGGCAGGATCAGCTGGTTGGGTACAGAAAAAAGCGGGGGGGGGGCATAAATGCAACACTATAATTATACCCAACAAAACGAACAATACCTTTATTTAAGATTTTATTTGATAGAGAAAAGGTCACAAGCAGGGGCGAGTAGCAGAGGGAGAGGGAGAAGCACACTCCCTGATGAGCAGGGAGCCCACAATACCTTCACTTAATAACTAGTTCAAGTTTAATTTTCTTCAATTGTCTCAAAACCGTCTTTCTATAGCCACTTATAATAAAGCCTTATATGGTCACCTTTTTCTGGAAAATAGGTACCTCTCAAAAAGTCTTTATTGACACCCACTGTGTGCCAGATACTGTGTGCTAGGTAGGTAATGGGGTCTGTAGTGACCAGAAATATTTCATTCACTATTCCACTCTGAAAACAAGGGATAAATTGGCTAACCCAGATCAGGTGCCTCAAGAGAACAAACGACAGGTGGGGCTTTTAGAAAAAGATCTCTGTTGCAATGACTCTTCAGAGACCCAAATGGTTGTAGGGCCTTAATGTTTATTTATTTATTTGATAGAGATCACAAGTAGGCAGAGAGGCAGGCAGAGAGAGAGGGAGAGGCAGGCTCCCTCCTGAGCAGGGAGCCCGATGTGGGGCTTGATCCCAGGACCACGAGGTCATGACCTGAGCCCAAGGCTTAACCCACGGAGCCACACAGTTGCTCCATGCAGGGCCTTAATGTTGCTAAGAGCTCTGAACACAGGAAGCTTCCCCTGTAACTCTCTTGCCACTATTTGGAGCATTATTCTAGTACTGCCAACAAATGACTGAAAATAACTATTCAGCATCTCCCATATACTGCACTTAGTGTTGTAAAGACCTTCCAAGGAGTGTGTCTGAGATTTTTTTCAAGGAACTTAACATGTAGTGGAGAGGATAATGTAATACACAAATAACCACAGTGTAAGTTGAAAGCCTGCAAATGCTCAAAGAAAGTACCTGACATTAAACAGTTTTAAAAGCGCACAGGATCCTGGGATTACTAGGGTGGACCTGTGGCCAAGGGACTGAAGCGGAGGACATGAAGTGTCAAGTCAGTGATACTTCTGTTGGACTCTGAAGAGCAGCTGGAAATTATTAATGCAAATAAAGATGACAGAGAAAGAAGGGAATCTGAGGCCAAAGGACCAAAGTTAGCAAACAGAACATTACCGCAACAGTAACACAGAAGAACGATCATTCTAGGTCAGGCCTGAGTTATAAAAATTTATCCACGAGGTGGTCCTCTAAAAGTCATCCTTTCTTCCAGATCCTCCAGTAAAGTATTAAGAGATTTGGGGCTCATTTACAGTTCACAGGATTGTGACTGTTTCGAATTTCCCAGAAGCCAAAGCAATTACTTCAGCGACTGCCTAACGACCTGAATTAGACATAGCATCCCTGAGTTTTCGGGGCGTGCATTTCCTAAATTAATTTCAGAGTACTTCCAATAACACCAAACCGAACAAATCCTTTTGAAATCAAGGCCTATGTGAACCCTCAGAAAAATCAGCCTCAAAATAAGGTGAATATTTTGGCCCCCTCTCCGTTTTGCGTAGTTGGAGGAACAGGAGGCTCAGTCCCTGGGGTACCCGTTCGGTCCCTTCCCACCATGTCTACCAGAGGCAGCTCACACAACCCCGCCCGCTACCGGCTCCGTACCCTCAGGTTAGCCCGGAGGCCCAGATTCTTGGCTAGGATCTGAAGGTCGCTGTACTTGAAAGAGTCCAGCTCCTCAAGGGAGGGCATTGCCCTGGCGAGCTGCATCCAGGCGACCACAGTGAGGACTCGTACTCACTCGTACTCCACCTTCGGCAACACGGTTCAAAACTCTGGCGCCACTCTAAGCGTTACCGAAACCGAATTTTATAGAGAGTTTAAATTGAAAATGCTGCACTTCTATTGGCTAAAAATACCCGGAAGGTGGGGTTTCCTGGCGTTGACCAACAGAAACGAAGATTCTCCTCGCATCTGACGCACGTTTTCCCCCACCCCTCAACAACACTTTGGGGCGGAGTCCCCGGCACAGGATGTCCAATGAGGAAGCAGGAATCGTGCTTGGGCGGGCCAGGTGCGTGTTCGAAGCGGAGGCGCGAGCTGCGGAAAGATGGCGGCTCGGCCGCGGCGGCATCGTTCGCGGTGTGCACAGCTTCCGGGGGGTGATTTTTGTGATGCCGCTAAGAAAACAACTGACAAACACTCTTGTACGACTTCTATGGAGTGGGACACGCAGGTAGTGAACGGGTCCTCGCCGCTTGGCCCCGCAAACCTGGGGGCAGAGGAGCTGCCATCTGGCTCGCGGCTGCCGTCGTGGCTGCAGCCCGAGAGGTGCGCGGTGTTCCAGTGCGCGCAGTGCTACGCCGTGCTCGCTGACTCTGTGCACCTCGCCTGGGACCTGTCGCGGTCCCTAGGAGCCGTGGTCTTCTCCAGTGAGTGGGGGCAAAGTCTGAGGAAGGCGGAGGAGGTTCCAGAGAGGGGTTTCCCGCTTTCTCACGGGACAGTCGAGAGCGAGTGGTGGAAAGGACTGGGGGGGGGGGG